CAGCTCTGTTACTCCTTTTGTGTGACGTTGAGCAAGACATATTTCCCTCCCCTGTAAACGAGGGGGTTGGTTGCTTCCAGCTCCGCTTCTCAATCAATCATCCATACAGGCTGGTGTGGTCCGAGGGAAAAAACACCAGACTTGGGAGTTAGAAGGCCTGAGTTCTATGAATCTGGCTCTGGCATTTACTAGCTATGTGATCAGGGGCAAAGAAGTCACCTAATCTCTCTGACTAATCAAAACCAGCGGAACACTTTACATCACGACCACAGTAATCTGCAGTGAAAAACCTCAAGATTCTGACTAATGAAATGACCAATCGTGATTTCGTAGTACTGATGGTAAAGCACGCCTCTCACCTCTAAACCGAAGGGTGGTAGACTAGGGGTGAGGAATGTGAAATACATTTTTCAGACAAGAGAAGCTAGGTAGTATAGTGGATAAAGCCCCAGTTCCAGCTTCTGACACTTAGTAGATGTGACCCTGGGCAAGTCACTTCACCCTGTTTGCCTCAGTTTCCCCATCTGTAAATTGAGCTGGAGAAAGAAATGGCAAACCACTCCAGTATGTCTGGCAAGATACCCCACGTGGGATCACGAGAGTCAGACCTGACTGAAAAAAACAACTAAACAATAGGATCTCTCTGAGTCTGTTTTCTCATCCGGAAAATGGGAATCAATCGTGATTATTGAAGCTTCAAGGTACCGTGTAAAGTGACTTGTAAGCCCCTAAATGCTGTAATCATTCCTATCCATGGCAGGTACTGAACAATCCCTGTGTGCTTAGTCTGAAAACTATCAAAGCATTTGTGGTTGATTAATACATACTGCCTACAGGGTAGAAACTCTTGTTATTCAGTGAGTTAGCGAAGTCAGAGGAGGTCCAAGGGCCCACCCACAAAGTGCATGTGGTCAGAAGCCCCCGAGGGCAGCGCCACCCGACCGCTGTGCACTGGCACAGCACTGAAGACCCAGGCGGAGCAAGGAGATCTGTAAAGCCTGCCTTGGGCACAGCTGTTTGACCTCTTGGCTTTTCTGAGTCTGTTTCCTCATCTGTAAAAACAGGACGGAAAGGAGCCTGGTATGAGCACTAACAAGGTGGTTTGGCGACTTTTAAAGCACTAGACTGGTGCTGGCCATTATTATTAGCCAAGCTTTGGACAGGGGGCTGGTACTGGACTGGGGATAGCAGGTCGGAAAGGGATGGCCAGAAGCCAGAGCAGGGACTCCGATCTCACCGCTTTCTCTACATGTGTCATATGGAAGAACTGAGGGGGGAAAGGAGAAGGGGAGACCCTTCAGGCACTGCCGCTGACTGCTTCTTATCCCACACGATTAACGTTAACGCGATGCCTCTTCCTAAATCTGACTCCTGTCTCACCCTGAGCTTGCTGGGTAGACTGGGGTCGGAACCACCAGACGCTACACCTACCTCCTGGGGCAGCTAGCCGGGGCAGTGGATAGAGCTCTGGCCCTGGAGTCAGGAGGACCCGAGTTCAAATGCGACCTCAGACACGTGACACTTTCTAGCTGTGTGACCCTGGGCAAGTCACTTAACCTCGACTGCCTCACCAAAAAGCAAAAAGACAAACAACAAAACTACACCTACCTCCAAGAGAAATGACATCTTGCTTGGACTGGTAAGCCAAAAAAAAATCATTTTTCTTGCACTTTAAAGGCTTACAAAGTGTATTCCTCACAACAATCCCATCAGCTCATCTTGAATTCCCAACCCAGGCCAACTCTAAAAGCATGTGGGGGTGACCTCCCCAGCGTGGGTCTCAAAGATTGTATCTGAGGTGGAATTTGAACCCAGGTCTTCCTGACTTGGGGGCCAGCAACCTATTTCCTAAGCCATGGTGTCCCTACATACATTGTTACTAGTGGTAACTCTTGATTTCATTCAGATTCCTAACTGGCCCTGGAAGGAAAAAGATTAGGGGGATCGAGCCATTTATTAGGGCAATGGCAGAAATCATGTGGTCTAAAATTAAAATGTAAATTATTTTAATAGCTCCCTAATGTTAACCCCCAAATCTTCCTTTCACCCACTGTACTGTTGATATATGTGAACTGAACCGTACTGATAATGTATAACATATATTAAGAGCAGTCTTATCTATCATCTACCCATCAAACTACCAATCATCTCTCATCTATTATCCACCAATTCATCATCTATATCATCTATCAACATCAGCTATCCATCTCCCAATCCATCAACTATTGATATTTCTGACCAGCATTATCTGCAGCCGTCACGGTACTATCAGACTGCCATGTCCATTTCCCAAAAGAACAGAAGACTGGATCCTGAAAGCCGGATATTATGGCAGTCCCCGAGTCTAGCGTGTCATCCAAAGTGACATGGCTGTCACCTGTTATTCCCATTTTAACATCCTGCATTTAGCACACGGCAATAATGATGCCTCGATTTCAGTCTGTCTATAAAATAACAACGGTAAAAATAGAATCAGCTACACCACTGGAATGTACTGGCCAAGGTTCAGTCCTTGGCAAATGGTGATTTTGTATTATACCATAACTATACACATACATGTGTTTTTATTCTATATAATGCACATTCCTGACTAAGAGAGCTCCCTACACTTATGAAAATCACAGGTCTAGTCAAACTATGGAATTACAAATTTTTATGTTAGCTTTGCTTAGACATTATCCCAATAATTTACCCTGGTTTCTGTGCATATATGTGTATATGTGTGTATGTATACACACTAATATAAAACATATATATACACACACACACACAGAGATACATATACGTGTAAACATTTTGTGTTTAAGAGCTATTTACATGGAAATATTGTTCCCAGGGGTACATTTCTATATAGGGGAAATATTTACAGTTGGGAGTTTGCTTATTCTCCAAAAGAATAACTATAAAAGCTGTCTCCAGTACCCTTTTAATGTAGTTTTGAGATGGAATAAAACCATCCAATCACCCATAAGGCAGGGAGTAAGAAGATTCCATACGACGTTTATGTCCAGGCAGCATGAAGCTGCAATGGGAGTCAGAAGACCTGCGTTCAAATGCTGCCTCAGAAGGACAACCGGTACCCTTGTGACCTTCAAGTCATTTCCCTTCCTGGGTCTGTTTTTTTATCTGTAAAATGAGGGGGCCTGGGTGGACTAGATGTTGGCAACAATGACCTTTGACCAAATAACAAGGCAATGGTGACTGCTTTTCAATGAAGAATTTGCTTTGGGGGGGGATTATGCAATTGTCACAGGTCAGGTGGCAATCCCCACCACAGATGGACACAGATCTGAAGGGGGTGGGTGATCCTGGACAAGTCACCTAACTTTCCCAATGATCTTGTCAGTATTTGCATTCCAAACACTGATGAAATCCCAGCCGTGTTCCCCAGTTAGCGGCAGGGCTAAGGAGGCAGCCGGTTCCCTAGGACTAAAGTTGGAGGGTGTCAGACTGCACTGAGAGAAGGCTGACCAGCGACCTACCCTAGGTTACAAGCACTGCCACCCAGAAGGTTTTCTCCTGCCAGTGTGGCCAAGGATAAAAAAGGAGAGAAAGTCCCCATTCGACAAGAGTGAGGCACCGTCGCTAGCTTTTAACGATCAGCTGCCATCTTACAATCAATCGGTGGCCCTGTGGGCCAGTTCCTTATGTTAAGAGAGGAGGACCAGGCCCAGAGGTTAGTGCTCTGACCAGGGACTAGAACCTGGTCTCCTGACACGGGCCAGTGATCCATGTCACACCACAGAAAGTCAGGACGCCTCACGAGTTTCATTTTGGGAGTGTCATGGGATGGGATGGGCACACGTGTGCCATAGATACATTGAAACGGTAATAGATTAATGACTCAAAGGGCACTCTGAACCACAGGTAAACTAACTATTCCCTGAAGGCCCTTGAACAGAGCAGGTGTAAAATCCCTTCTCCCTGCATGTGTGAATCCCCTTCTTTAAAGATCTGTTAACTTGTGAAACATCCATTAGCCAAAGTAGATGCCTGCTCTGTTCTAATATAAAAGCAATTCTGCTGACACCACTAAAGCAGGAGCTACAATTAATCCCTATCCAATAAAACAGGGTGGAAAATATAAATCCCCATTAGAAAAACATGGTCATACCCTCAGATACCAACACCCCTCCCTCCCCCTCCCCCCAAAAGAAAAGAAAGCTAAGAACAAGCAGTTTGCTAAGTTATACCAAGTTCCGTTATCTAATGAGTTTATTGCAAAGACAGAGACAACAAACCCAGTCCGAGCCCTCTCTTTCCCACTTAGCACTCACCTGCCACCAGTACATTCATTCACTCATCGACTCATTCACTCACTCGCTCACACATGCACTAAATATATCTGTACACAGGGTGTCGTTAACGGTTCTTAAAGTTCCCCTAGTATAACAGGAAACTTGAACATTTCAATTAAAAAGTAAAAAAGGGCTCATTTGCCACCAGATTATAAAACTTCTCTTCTAGAAGAGGATGTTGTTGTATTTTAAGATTTTGCTCTGAAAAAAACCATACACAAAATGAAAAGGATGTCACTTCAATAGCACTATGACCAAATGAAATTTAACATATTAATGAGATAAAATAATATTCATAAATTAAAGAAACTCAAAGATAAATCTGGCCAAACGAAGACCTTCAACGACTAATTCAAAATAACATACTCTATTAACAGGCACAATAAACAGTGTTGCTAATTGCAGAAACACTGTTAATGGGCATATGGGATCTTTAAATGTAATAGACTGGACAATGCTTGGTTAGGGATTAACATTTAGTCTTCAAAATTACACAAAAGGCCCCCGGCTCTCTCCCCCCAAACATTTGTAGCCACTCAAGTTGTAAATGGTTTACTGAAAAAAAAAAGGAGAAAAAAAACCTTTAAAAATTAAATTTCAATAAATATGTCAACAGCTAAAAATCTCGCTAAGGTTATCATGCACGACATTACACAACCAAGACCAACTGAATTTTATAATAAAGGCAACTTGCATTCAAAATGAACTCTACCCTCATACTTTATTAAAAGGGCAAACATCATGAATTAACCCAGCTGTTTACTTGAATTATACAAAAGTAACATGATTCAATATGAAAATAAGAAACTGTCTACAAATCTCCGACAGTAATAAATCGCAATATACAATGCATACAGGAGTCATACAGAGCAACAAACTCTTGTACAAAACAAAAATATTTTAATACCTTTAAAATCCAAATTTTTTTTCATTGAAATCATTCATGAAAAAAGATTCTCCAGTCGGAATTCACACCTCAATTAGTCAAGCATCAGGGAAGCTACATTAGAGCTATTTAATATACAGAGAGACATTTCTCTTCCCCAAGGTGTTGCATGTAATGTCTCTGCTTTAGAACTGTCCACTTCTCTCCCATCTTTTTATATTTTCAGTTCCAACTTTTCTTGAAATCATGAGAATTGAATTTGTTGAACACCAGAAATCTAAAAAAGAGAATTACTTTTTTAAAATAGTCTCCATTCATAGCAAGGCCTCTTTTTTGCTAAATGAATTAGAAACAGACACTATACCTGTTGATATGATGTTGTATACACCATAACATTCTGTTGCTGGCCATCTGTGGTTATTAAACCGGCTGGTAATTGATTAGCTATAAAAGACAAAACACATTTTTAAGGGACCCATTTTACAGCTGTGTTTCTAGTCAAGTTCCAAGATCCCACAGTTCCAGCTCAAAAGCCCCAGGCTCTATTTCCAGTCCCCTCAATGGCCGTGTGATCTTCCACGAGGAAATTAATCCCCCATTTAAAACACTTGACCCCTCCTTTCTTCCTATGTCACATCAGGGTAATCCATCAAGAAACACTTATTAAGCACCTACCACATACCACGTGCCAGGCACTTTGCAAGGATCTGGGTAGAGAAAGCCGAAAATGAAATGTCCTACAAGTGGTGACATTCTCTCAGAGGAGATAACAAATACACAGATGTGGAAATATAAAGCGCTGCCACGCCCCCCCCCCATAAGTTCTTTGAGGACGGGGCTGTTTTACTAGTGAACGACTTTATGTGCCAAGTAGGCATTTGTATCTGTTCCTAGGCGTACACCAGTAAACCTATCGCCCTTAGTATCAAATACAATTCCCTCTAGAGATGCTTAATTCTGAGGTCTGTATTTTAAAAATATTTTGATAACTATTTCAATCTAAGTGGTTTCCTGCATAACCCTTTATTCTAGACATTTATAAACACCAGTCTGGGGAGGGCTCCACAGGCCTTAGACTGTCAAAGGGGTCCAAAGGCTACAAGGTAGCAAGTAGAAAACACGACCAAAAATGGACATGGCCTGGACTACACTTTGGCAGCAAGTCAAGATGGCTGGAGAGGAAGCCTTGAGTCAGGAGCCCAAGCAGGAAGCCACGTGTAGAGAGGAGGGGGCCCGGCACCAGGCAGGTGAGAGAGAAGAGGATGAACGTTAACAGACGTGGCGGGGAGCAAGCAGACCCATGGGGGAGGGTTGCTGAGGCCGCCAACACAAACAGGCAGAGGATCGGCAGTGCCCAGGCAGACACCAACAGAGAGGAGGAGGTGGGGAGGAGGTGAGTGTTCTTTTGTTTAGACCAAGTGTGGGATGTCCAGTTCCATGTGTTCAGCAGGCTGCTGATGGCATGAGCCTGGAGCTCAGGAGAGAGATGAGGACTAGATTGTAGTTCATTAAACCCACGAGAACAGAAGAAGCTGCCAAGGGCCCAGAGGCACCCCCAGTGAGGGCTTAGAGGGCATACACACACACATACGGGAAAACCCAGAAAAGGAGGCCGAGGAGTCCTCAGAGGGAAGGAGGATGACCAAGAGAGCACAGAGAATCCTTAGGAGGGATGCGCAGGCCTCCGCCAGGCCAAATGATGCGACTGAGAGGGATGCACCAGACGTGGTCATGCAAAGATCCCCGCTCTCTCTGCAGAGAACAGTTTCATCTGACTCGTAAACAGACATTTTACTCTACAAACATTAAAGTATTTGGTGCTTTTTTCCTTTCTCTTTCATTCTAAGGAAATTATGATCCTAGTTTAGAGGGTGGGAAGTTTTTCTCCTTACATTTTTCTTCACAAAAATCCCTACCCTAAGGTCCAGCTTGAAGGCACTGCAGTCAGACTCCACGCTTCACTCAGCACAAGGAGGCCCAGCCCACCGCGTGGCTGGGAAGAAGGAACAAGAAACGTGCTCTCCAATTACGCATGATGGGCCGTTAAAACTCTCAATTCCACTTGCTCTGCTCAAAACTTAAGGGATAATGAAGTAAGCTTTAAATCTCCTAGTCAAGATAGATTATGAGCAGATGAGATGAACCTGTCTTATCATGACCACAGGCTCATCCAGTAACCCAGTAAAGTTTTGGGCAGCACTGTAGTGCACAGAGCGCTGGGCCTGGAGTCAGGAAGACTTGTCTCCCCAAGTTCAAATCTGGCCTCAGACACTTACTAGCTGTGTGATCTTGGGGGAGTCAGTTAACCTGTTTCTCATCTGTACAATGAGCTGGAGAAGGAAATGGCAAACCCCTCCAGTATCTTTGCCAAGAAAACTCCAAATGGGGTCATGGAGAGTTGGACACGACTGAAACAACTCAACAATGGGAAAGCCTGGTAAATCCTTCTCAGAATGTGACTAAATGCCTATTATAAAATACATTAAGATTACAAAGGAAGCCAATTAATGTTGAAATACAATTAACAAAATATGTTTTAAAGTTGAAAAACCAAGTTCTTAGCCCCAGGTTAAGCAGCCCTCAATGAGGGTCTGTGACTGAACTTCCTCCACAGAGCCAGCACGTGAAATGCCAGGAACACAGCCAGCGCTCATCACTGCCCTTCTCAAGGTTTCCCCAAGGACCCAGGCATACCTGCTGAACTGACTCTGAATAAGGCCATGTGAGAACATGCATTCAAAATGATTTGGTTCCATCCAGTTCTGTCTAAACAAGACCCTATGATGCTTCCCACCATCTCAAGACCAGGACACGATGACAGCCATCAGACGGGGCCCTGCAGGGGACTTACTAAAAGCTTCTTCCGTGAGCTCCTCACTCAGCCCGTCTGTGGTCGTGACTGCTCCGCCGATCCCCTTCTCTCCTTTCATTGCCTGGGAGAAAAGCCAAATGTAATTCAGAAAGAAAAGACCCTTTGCAAAGGGACTCCTCCACTGACTTCTTCCTTAAAACCAGGCATGGGGCGGGGTGGGGGGAAGGGGTGTCGGTTCACCAAGATACAGCATGTAACATTTCCTAATGACTGACTGATGATGAGACTAAGGCCATTTTTAACACAAGCATATAATCACTTTGAGATCCTTCTAGCAATCCTTTATTGCTTTTTCAGATTTTTGAAAATAAGATTTTTGCTTCCAGACCAGGACACAAATACTGACTTTATTCAATAATCAGGAAGTTCACTAATTCATTCACTATTACTCAAAGGCCAAATGCGCACCCTATCCCTCCAGCCTTGGAATGTGTTCCCTATGTCCATATGCCACGGTGACCCATGTCACAAAGAGCAAACTCAGCGTGTGGGTTCCTAATTCCCTCTACAGAAACAGGAGAGCTAGAATCTCAGGCAGTTATTGTGAGTTTCATTTCACAGCGACACGCCACAAGTCCCAATTATACATTCTAAATGGCAGCTGAGGACCACATCGACCTCTAAGGACCCTGCCAGGTCTGATGGGTGATCCTCAAGTTCTGGGCAACTGCTACATGTGGAATCCATTTTCCTCTTTACATTTGATAACAAGAACCTGGGCCTAAGAAGTAGCACAAAAGTCATCAGTGATTCCTAACCAAAGCAGGGTGTCTTTGCCAACAAAGACTCATGGGTGGAGAGGCTGGGAGTCCTGTAGGATGGAAGGCTGTGAGCAACGGCCCTTGGAGGGGAGCACGCCCTACTAAGAAGCCAATCACCGTCCTCAGGACATGCCGCCGGCTCCCGGGGGACCGAGGAGGGAGCCAGGAGACTGCCACATTAGAGCGTAACCAAACCTTTGGGTTTTTTCCCCTTCTTTATTTTTAAAGATTAACTTTAACTTCCAGGGACAAATACCAGTAACCAAAACAAAAGCATGAGAAAATTAAACAAATTTAAACCACAAAGACTGCTAATGTTCATTTGTCTTCTCTCAACTCCCAAGATACCTACACGACACTGTGGAGGAATACCCATGTTTGCAGCTCCCAGATCCCTTCAAAGATCTTTCCTTGTTTTCTGAGGGTTAATTAATGAGACTGTTTTGTAGGAAAAGTTTGTCAGTCTTGGCATTTTTCACTTCTTTTGTGCTTTGGCGCAACTGACCCTGTTTCATCGTGGACTTGAATGTTCTTCAAACACATGGGTATGCCCTACTCTCCAAGAGCCGCTGCAATACTAATACTTCTAACAGTCACTCAAGTGTGCTCCTCTTCAATGGCTACAACTTTTGCATGTACCTATTCTTTAAAAACCACAGAATTTAAAATAGAACAAAAAAAGAGCAACGAAATGTATGGCGTATGGCACTTAACAGACAGAACTAACTTCACTCAACCTGGCTTCATCTAGTCAAAGTCAAACGTTCTGAGTCAGTCAACTGTCAAAAGATGTAGACCCACCTGCACATGCTGTCAAAATTTCAGTTTGTTTTTACCACTGAGGCTGGCCCAGAGAGGTCACATGACTTACACAAGATCCCACAGCCTGGGCATTAACCTCTGGTCCTACTGCTCCAAATCCAGCATGCTTCCATGGCCTACGCTGCTAATAACCTTCTGGGTGAAAGGGCAGGCACACACCGTTGAAGCTCTGAAAGCATGATTATTCTATGGAGCTTTCTAAAAGGGAGGACCAACACAATGCCCCTGGGAGCATTACCAAGGGCCTGCCGATTTTATCACGGCTGCATCTCGAATAACTGTGCTCTTTTATTTATCTTTGCAAATCTGATGGGTGCCAAATGGATCTCAGAGTTGTTTTAATTTCCGTTTGTCTGATTTAATAAGGCTCTTTCCTTTCAGACTTGCTTATTCATATCCTTTTCATCACTTATCCGCTGGTGAACAGCTCTTTTAAAAGTGCGTTCCTTATAAACTCTAAATATGACTTTCATTGAAAGTTTAATGCAAAGATCTTCACCTTTCCTCTCCTCCTCCCAGCTTGTTTCTCTCCTTGTCTTAGAGGCATGCAAATACTTTTAAATTTTAATGTAATCAAATATACTCTATATAGCTAGAGTAAGTCCTATCCCCTTCATCCTATAGATAAAGAAACTGGGTCCAAAGGAGGCCAGGCCAAAGAGGTAGTTAGCCATCAGAGTAGGTCTCCCGATGACAGAGTCAACGCTTTTCCTAGTGCACTGTCTACGTTACTGCTTGGTAAGAAGATACACCCTTCTTCATAGTTGTGAAAAACATTTTTTCTTGTCCTCCAGTTTTCCTGGGACACATTATGTGGCACAAGAAAATTAAAAGACTAGAAAATATAATTTCTACGTTATTTAATTTACTTGGAATTTGTTGTGGCAGATGATAGTATGAGATTACTGGTTTATTCCCATTTTCCACCATTCTACCATTCAGTTTCCCAACAATTTTATTGAATAAATGACATCCAAGTGTTCTGAGACTAGATATTCTACACTAGGCAGTTACTTTATATACAACTGGTTTTAACTCACTAGTCTAAATCTAGTTCACTGATATCCATTTTTAATTTTTTATCCAGTATCAGAGTTTTTATCATTATTGCTTCATATTATGAGTTGAGACTCTACTATAAAGGTATACAAAGTCCTTTGCTTTTTCTCTTTCCTACTCTCCCTTTATATTCTCGATCTTTTAAAAGTTCTTCTGTATCAACTTTGTAATTATTTTATCTAATTCTACAAAGCATATCCAGGAAACGTGTTGATCATGTAGCATGAAATTTATAGATCAATTTGTGAAGGATGACATCATGTTACAAAAGTATACATTATGCTCAATCTCTCAAATTATCTGGTCATTATTTTAGTCGTACTTATTTTAAAGTTGATCTTATTTATGAATCCTGTATTTACACAAGGGAAGTTAAATTTATAGGTACTTATAGTTATGATTTGAAATGCTATGTCCTTATCTTTTTAAAATTTTTATTGGTGACATAGAAATACTAATACTAACACTAGGCTCTTTCTTTCCTCCTATGGTATATAATCCAAAGATCTCAAGTTTTCTCCCTGAACATTTGGCCCTTCTAAGTATGTGATCTTTGCCTGCGAAAAGCTTTTCAAACCTTATTTCAAGTCACTTTGCTTTGCTGCACATTTGACTGTTTCTGCCACGTTGTTTTCAGCATCATTTGACTGATCCCACACTTTTAGTTAAGTGTACTACTGCGTTCCCCATCCTGCTTTTCTGTTGCCAGTTTGTCTCTTGTCCCGCTTTTAATAATGCGGCTCTCTCATAACCAACACGATGTCTCCTGACCGGAAGCCAAGTCTCCTTTCTTTGCATTTTAAAGATCTGTCTGCTGTTGTCTCAGGCTAAATCCAGCTTCATTTCTGGGATCAGCTGGAATCTGTCATCTTTTCTGTTGGACAGTCTCAATTCTCACTCTGCCATCCTGTCAGAACCACACAAATAGGTTTTCATACAGAAGATAACGTTGTGGGAGAAGAGACTGCCCGCCCCCAAGAGAAAACCTGAAGTGTCCAACTCCCTTTTTGGAGCTGGAGAAATGTACATGATCTCACCAGTCTACCTGCGTGGGCCATTAACAAAAACTATTCAAATGAGAGGACGAGCAACACAAAACCAAAACTTGTAAGGAAGACCATATCGAGGTGACAACTTCCCTAGCCTCCTGTCACAGAAAGAAATGAATGACCAGAGGCAGACGCTGTAACTTTGCCGTTCAACTCAGTTTTCGCCTGAATAAGTGAAGATAAAAGTAAACATCAGTGACAAGACTGTGTCTAAAAAAGTGCTGTGTATACTGTTGGTTATGCAAATTGGACTTTTTGATATGCATATGACAAACAGAAATGTCAAGGCTGTATTGACTTTCTTTGCTGGCAACACTTAGGAAACATTTTCCTCACCTCTCTGAATTTCTGAAGGTAAAGCTTCAAAGGTTCCACGTAACTGTCAAAACCCAAAGTCGACATTGCAAATAGAATGTCCTCTCCATTGATGGTCTTCCGCTTTTCCTGGTGACACCTTTCACTGGCTTCTGATGTGATAAAGCTGATGAATTCACTCACACACTCTTGTACGCACTCCTTAGCATCCTTAGCAATCTGACAACGAGGGAAAGTCAGGGTAAATCTCTGCATACATCTCCCACGCCCCTCCCAACCTGCAAAAGTAAAGGCCTATGCAGCACAGCGACACATTATTCAAATCATAGTTAGTGCCTCTATTGCCCTGTGAACTGAATTTTATTAAGAACAACACAGTGTGTGCTACCTGCTGCTTTCAAGGCCAGGGGCATATAACATATGAATGCAAATGGTAGGGAGTCTCAATAGTCCTATTTACAGAAACAGCTATGAACAGAAGAACTTACTATCAGACAGCAACTATGACATGTCATCAACTGCCCCTCTAGGAGGTAGCTCAAATCATATTTTCTTTTTTTTCCCTTTTTTTAGGCAATTGGGGTTAAGTGACTTTCCCAGGGTCACACAGCTTGTAAGTGTCAAGCGTTTGGTCTGAGATCAGATTTGAACTGACTTATCCACTATGCCACCTAGCTGCCCCTCAAATCCTATTTTTTAAAGAGGCAAAAGAGTCCCACATGTCTTAGGAGCAGAACCATTCTGTTATGTACCCTATAATTCAAAATGCTGGGCTCTGGAATCTAAAATCTCTTAAAAAGTCTAAATCTCTTCTTTTTACTGGTTTTATGAGAAATACAGACTGAAATGTGAATTCACTGACATTTATGGTAAAACTACCTCCTATGACATTAGTGAATTCACATTTTGGTCAGTGTTCATGATAATCTAGAGAGACTATTTAGAGAAGAGTTTAACTTGAGGTCCATGAACTTGGATGGGGAAAAAAATTACTTTTATTTTCACTAACATCTAACTGAAATTTAGCATTATTTCCTTTAAGGTTACAACTGTACCTACTTGAGGTCCATGAACTTGGATGGGGAAAAAAATTACTTTTATTTTCACTAACATCTAACTGAAATTTAGCATTATTTCCTTTAAGGTTACAACTGTACGTACCCAAAGGGCTCATAAAACTGTGTATAGCCTATATCCCAAAAAGATAAAAAAACAAAAAGGAAAAAGACCTATATGTAAAAAAATACTGAAAGCAGCTCTTCTTCTGGTGGCAAAGAATTAGAAATTGAAGGGATACCTCAACTGGGGATTGGCTGAATAAGTCACGGTATATGATTGTGATGAAATACTATTGTGCTGTAAGAGATGATGAGCAGGATGCTCTCAGAAAAACCAGGAAAGACTTACATAAACTGATACAAAGCAAAGTGAACAAAACCAGGAGAACATCGTTCACAGCAAAACTGTAGGATGATCAACTGTGAATGACTTAGCTATTCTCAGCAATACGATGAGCCAAACAATTCCAAAGGACTCATGCTGAAAAAGGCTATCCATTCCCAGAGAAGGAGCTGATGGAGTCTGAATGAAGATTGGAGCAGACTTTTTTTTTAAACAGTTTTTATTTTTTCCAATTACATGTAAAGACCATTTTTAACATTCATTTAAAAAAATTTTTGAATTCCAAATTTTCTCCCTCCCCTCCCTAAAATGGTAAGCAATTTCATATAGGTTATAAATGTGCAATCAGAAGCATCCTTTTTTTAAACTTTATTTTTCTTAGGGTTTTTTTTGTCTATGTTCTCTTTCACAACATGACTAATATGGAAATATGTTTTGCATGACTGCAACACATACAAACTATATCCAAATTGCTTGCCTTCTCAATGAGGGGGGAGGGAAGAGAGAGAGAGAATTTGAAACTCAAACATCTTAAAAAATAAATGTTGAAAATTGTCTTTACATATAATTAGGAAAAAAAAATATTAAAATTTTTTTAAAAAAGAATGTAGGTCACCAACATTATGCTGAGAAGTGGTTCACAGATTTGAATGGCCAAAGAATCTAAGAAACCAAAAAAGTTCAGAATCTTTGATTTGGAGCCAGAAAGGCATCAAGAGGTCATTTACAGTCTGACAGATGAGCAAGCTGTCCCCTGAGCTTGAGTGACTCTGCCCAAAGTCACACAAATAACAGGCACCAGGGGTAGGATTTGAACGCAGGTCCTCTGACTTTAGGGCTGGTGCACTCTTGTTCCTCTGCACCAATCCTCCGGTGGCTGCCCAGCCCAAGGGAAACATTTCTGAGTACAGAGACAGGGACATGGTTGGAGATGGGGTCTTGGACCATAAAGCACAACCAAAACAAGTGGGACCGCTCGGCTTCTCCCACCACACATACACAGTGCCAGCAAAAAAACCAAATCAAAAAACAAGCCACACAATTGGAACAGCTGGTGTCATCTCACACCCTTTTAAAACAGGTGCTTTCCTCTCCTTTCAGGGCTCAACAAGTGGCTGAAGGATGCACTTCAAGAGAACAGAATTTCCTGAGTGGATCAGGGACGACAGGAACTGAGCTTGGCGAGATTCTCCCTGGAAGTCCGGGGCTCTGCCATGGGCTGCACTGCTCAGGGGTCCTCCCCAGGCGTGGCTCTGAATGGTGGAGGGGGTTCTCCATGAACAGATGGCCGGGGGACCTCAACACATACTGGTCTGACCACAGACGACAACAACTCTTGCCCACACACCGCTTTTTCAAGTGTGCACCTCTATAATGACTCAATAAAGTAAATCATCACTGCACAAATACAGAATTGGCCAAAGAAAATTCCTAGAAAAATGGGGGTTGGAAAGCAAACCACCAAACCAAACACTAGAACCACCTGAGTGTTTCCCCCCACTAAATGCAACATAACCAAGTCTATTCAAAAGTGTCTGGGCCGCTCTGGCTCCCAACAGCAGCTGAGCACTCATCGAAGGCGGGTTGTGGCTGTCAGCCAGCAGGTCTCCAGTTATCCTCAAGTAGCTTTCTTTAAGCATAAGCAAGAGACACGGTCTTTCAATCAGGACCTGCAACCACAGGTTTCATGCTCCATTTTCAATCAGGAGAGACATTCTTTGAAATTTATCAATTTCATGCAAAAACAGCAGGACAAAATCACCAAGCCATACTTTGGCAAATGTATAAAAAAAAAAGGCATGCAGTCAGAATCATGGATTCTGGGAGCCACTGGGAACCACTGGGTTCAGGGAGGAAGCTTTTTGAGAAAGAAAAGCCAGTTCAAAGACATCCTCCCCACTCTGGATGAGCAAGGTCTGTCTCAAAGTTTCGGCCTGTGGGAATCAGAAGCAGATCTCGGTCCACGTACAGTCTACCAAAGACTCAGAAACTATGTCACTCATGTCATGACACACTCACCATACTCGAGGTACTGAAACTGTATCAAGCCTTCACACTTGCATAAAAACTCATCTATTTTTTATAATACTTCTTATTTCAAAAAAGAACTTCACTGGGTTTTCAAAAAAAATTTCCCCCCCACTACTCGAACCAAAGGTTAAAGGAAAACAGAACATAACCAAAATAGAATAAAACTAAAAGGATACAGTGGGCTGTTTCAGGGAGACTGAGTAATCCTAGCTTTAAAAAACTCTTGTTTCGTGTAAGGCTGAGTAACTAAACAAATGGCCTGCGGCTCTACCAAGGCCTCGCTCACCTTCCCCGTCTGAGGTATGGCGTTCTTCATTATCCTCGCGACGTTGGCGATGGGAAGATAGATGTCCTGTTCTCGAAAGCTCTCTTTGGAACCATTTGTGTCTTCATGATCATTCATGCTGTCTTCTGTGTCTAAAAAAAATGAGACAATTCAGAACCAAAGGTCATTTCAATGTCTGACACAGTGGAAGAAGACAGTCTTCGAAACGGTTTCAATAATCAAGTTAGGAACTGTGCTGGCTTAGTTCTTGACCCGTGGAGCAGAGCTAAAGATAAGTAACCATTCATGCTATTTTCTCAGCCTCACAAAATTCATGCTGTTTCCTTTCCCTAGAATTCCTGCCTCCCTCCACCTCCATCTCTGCCTATTCAAAGGCCTGCCACCCTCCCAAGCCCAGATCAAGCAACAAGCTCCCTATTGCCACAATCCCTCTTCATACCAACTGGCAATAGTCTCTCTCTCTCTCTCTCTCTCTCAACTCTGAACTGTCATCATGCCTACTGACCGCACCATTTATAGAGTGGACAGAATAATACTTGCATTGTCCACCTCACTAGGTTGTCATGAGGGAAGTGCTTTGTGAATTGTCTCCCTCTCTTCTCTTTGACTGGAAGGATGCTGCGGCACCTTGACTCATGCCTTTACATATGCATTCAGTTCAGAGTTTTGGAAAGGATCAGTTAGCTGATGTCACATGCAAATGATTCTATCACAAGAGGGCTCGGACGTGAAAACTAATTACAGGCTTACAGGTTTGGCTAAGGCCAGATATCAGATATAACGATAAAGACACAGGACAATGGCTTGGGTTGTTCCTGATTCAGTTTTCCATCTTTTCCCAAAGTACCACCTTGATTTGGGGGCAGAGTATGAATTTTAAAACAATAAGATTATAAACAATTTTCTTTTTTAAAGAAGACATGGGGCAGCCAGGTGGTGCAGCGGATAGAGCACTGGCCCTGAAGTCAGGAGGACCTGAGTTCAAATCTGGCCTTCGACCAAACACTTGACACTTACTAGCTGTGTGACCCTGGGCAAGTCACTAAATCCCAACTGCCTAATTAAAAAAAAACACAAACAAAAAAACCAAACACAACGAAGACACACAAGTCAGAAAGGAAGGGTATTCTAGTGGGTTTTGAGTTCTCCTCAATAATATGTAACCCTTGGTGGGGCAGGATAGGATTAAGGGAAATAGAGTTGGTTTTTCACAACACATCTACTATGGAAGTGTTTTGCATAACTGCACATGTATAACCTATATTGAGTTGCTTACCTGTTCAATGAGGGTGGGTGGGGAGGGAAGAAGGGAGAAAATTTGGAACCCAAAGTTTTAAAAACACATGTCTAAAAAAAATATTTTCACATGCAACTGGGAAATAAGAAATACAGAAAATGGGGTACAGAAGTCTATTCTGCCCTACAGGAAAATAGAAGGGGAAGGGGATAAGAGAAGGGGGGGAGAGATAGAAGAGAGGGCAGACTAGGGGAAGGGGTATTCAGAATGTATGCCATCTTGGGGTGGGAGGAGGGACGAGATGGGGAGAAAATTTGGAACTCAAAAACTTGTGGAAGTAAATGTTGAAAACTAAAAATAAATAAATTTATATTAAAAAATTTTAAAAAAATTAATATGTAACCTTCCTGGCGGCAGGGACTATTTCATCAGCTTTGATTCCCAGTGCTTAGCACATAGTAGGTGTTTAGCACACAGCAGGTATTTAATTTTAACTGAAAAGAGGAAACTGTTTATAAAGTGCTACTCAGGCTTTAAAGAGCCTGTCACAAACACCACATAGGTAACTGCCAGATATCCCTGGGTTTTATTAACCAGGAAGGAAAAATAAAGAAAAGGCAAGGACGAAGAGAAAGGACAACATTATATTAATGAAATGAAGTTTACACTTTTTAAACAGCAGTTTTCTTACCATCATGAGGCTGTATCACATAGTGGCTGCTACCAATGTAGTCTGAAATTCCTAACTGCGATGCATCTGTGGTCGAACTATCTCCATCCATCTATTTGAAAAAAGCAGCAACAAAAAAAGCTCTTTCAATGCTCTACGGGAGAGATTACTTTCCAAAGTACAAGGTGGGGGGCAGTGCTCTTAAACTGTCAGCTGAGTGGTCAACTGGACTTGTTCACAGCTTTAAGCCTAACTAAACACAAATATTGGTGATTTTCCACTGGGAGGCCTTTTATTTATTTCCTTACCACTAGAGACTTCCTGATCTTGGAAAATAAGAAGAATGAAATCAGAAGAAAAAGTAACCCCTTTCCTCTAAATAACCTGTGTCCCCTAGTATTGCCACGCCTGCCTCCATCCCCTTTTCACGTGAACACCCGGCTAAGTTGATGTGCTAGCAGGTACACCTGAGGCAGCTGTGTGCTAACCTGGAATAAGAGCTCTGCCTGGAGTCAGGACAACCTGGGTTCAAATCCAATCTCGACACTTAGTAGCTGTGCGGCCCTGGGCAAGTCTATCGGTCTCAGTTTCCTCAGTTATAAAACAGGGATAATAACAGCGGTTGTGAGGATCAGATGAACCATCTATAAAGTGCTTAGGATGGTGCCTGGCACAGGCACGCAACATCAACTTAATAAATGCTTGTTCCCTTCTCTGCTGTCTCCCTCTGCTGCCCCCAGTACCTTCTACACTTAAGACAAAAATGTTTCCTGTTGTGCAGATAGGCCCCTGTACCCTAGCAGACTCACAGTACTACGAGGGGCAAAGCATTCTTAACAGATTTCTAGCTCTTGGATCTAACACAGTCAACAGGCACCTGCTTTTGATTTCTTTCCCAAGGGTGACACCTGACATGATCAGCAGCTAGGCAGAAATTTCGTGAAGGACAGAATATCAATATCTAAAATTTCACTTAGAAGTAGATAAAGGATTTCTAACAAGGCTTTGTAAGCCATTAAGAGGCTGTCTGCATTCTCCAAAGGACCTTCTAGATCAGTCTAGCCTAGCAGTAAGCTTCTTCAGAGCAAGAACAACGTCTGATCTGGCTTTGTATTTCCTTCAGAACGTTATAAAGAATCAATGTTTATTGAAGGAATCAAGAGGCTGCATGAGGTGCTTGGAAAAGGGACAAGGTTATGTATGGAAAATGCTTCAGAAGTGAGGCTAAACATCCGAGTCACCATACTATCTCTGTCTCCCAGGGATCACAGCGTATTTTACTGTCTTCTATTTCCTGGTCAAAAGTGAATTTCTCCTGGGAGGCAAGGGCTAACAGAATTAAGGACCAGAAAGTAGACTATTTGTAGAGATTACAGGAAACGGAATCACTTAGCTATTTCCACCCTACTTTTAAATACCACTCAACCCTATTATCAGTACCTCTCAGATATTTAGTTGAATAGTATGATTTCACAGAAAAAAACTACCATCAAGAAAAGTGGTAGAAACCTTTCAAAGTTACCTAGTTCAAGCCCATCATTTTATAGGTGAGGAAAGTGAGTCCCAGAAAGGTTAAGTGACTTGCTTTAGGCTATACAAGTGGTATGAGCAGAGCAAGAATTCAAATCCAGCGCTCATTCAAAAACAAAGCCTGTAGTTTAAAACAAACAAACCCAAAAACAACCACAAAAAAGCCTTATAGCCTAGATGGAAAAATACAACTGCTAGAGACAAATCTACTAAAAAAAAAAAAGAGAAGCCTCTTTAATTTGGTTTTTGGCTAACTTCAGTCAGAAACATTTAGAGATTTCCTGGTCTGGTGCACAGGAGGATAAGAGAGCCCTCCAAATTCACTTAAAGGGACATCCTTAGCATAAGTCAATGGACACATGTCTGCTGTAGCCACAGCATTTTAATCGGAACCCTAACAACACCTTTGTACCTTAATTTGCTCAGCTAAAGTTTAAAATAATAACAGTATCTACTACATTGGGTTGCTAAAATGATTAATGAAATACTTTCACCTTATTAAAAGGCACTTTAAAAAGTATTTAAAAGTTAAGCCAATCCCCAGTGGTTCAAATCTAATAGCTCTTTCACTAGTACAGTGTAGGGCCCTAAACACGTCACATCATTTTCAAAGGCTCAAAGAATCATAGATTTGCAGCTGGAAAGGGGCCTCAGCATTCTTCGTCAGTCTAATACTTTTATTTTACAAAGGAGGAAATGGAGGCCCAGTCCTCTTTCCAGTCTCCTTATCCTCATTCCAATTTACTCATCAGCAAAATCACCACCGTGAAATGACAGAAAAGTCAAAACCCTTCAGGACTAAAGCATTAATGCTTTTGGACACCTCTAACAAACACATATAAAGAGACAAAGTAACACACAGTAGTATGATACACAGGATTACATTTAAAAGCTATGGGCACCAGAGCCCTACACTGTTTTTTTGGGAGTAGTCAAAGGCATGTTGACAAAGTGGTCCTTTTTGCATATTCCCCCATATTTCATTAAATGCAGATTCTTTAAAGAAATGTTAGAGACTGTAGTACTTCACTGCAAACACGATGATTTTATTATTTCAATTATTTGCTAAATATGTGGCCTGGGTTTCAGAACCATGCCAACAACCCAAGGCTGACACCATCTCCTCCGTTAACTCAAAATGTGAAGTAACCCTGCTAATTCCAAGTGCTTGATGGAAGATATAATCAAAAACCAACTGACCTTTAACACAGGCATAAATGAGCTCATCTGTGATCTACACACAGTGACTGGAACAGTCTTCTAGGTGTTCCTAGCTGGAAATGCTGCAGCTGGCAGCTCACTTAGAGGAGTAAAAGGCAAACCTGCAGGCATGCAGCAGAGCAAATAATTACTTCACACAATATAAAAAGGAAGCACAACTGTTCCGAGGTCTAGGAGGCTTTCTTGTATCCCCCTCAGGCTGCCACGGGGCTCGATGATAAAACTCTAGGCCCCTTCCAGCTGCCCTGAGTGAGTTACTCCTTTTGTCTCTCAGAAACCCATCCACAAGCACACTAAAGGTTTAAAATCAGCATTTTAAATTGGAAACGCACTGCACAAATTATTCATTATTCTTTGGAATTATTCTACAACCCATGCCTTAATCACTGCTACTTCATTTAGTGAACTTCATCCAAAAGGGCTGAATACTGGTACTGCTTCAAAGATCCATTCAACGGTAGAGTCTGAACCGGGACTCAGTGCCCTTTCTTGGTTTTGTTATTTATCCTCAACTGCCACTGGAATGTGCCAACGCCTGGCAGGACTGTGGCGCCCCCAGAGTCTAGCACTGGGCCTGGCATCCAGCAGGCACTGGAGGAGTACAAACTGAACAGAACCTTCGAGGCAACGCTGAAAAGTGTCCGGACACCTGCCAGTATCAAATGTGAGCCTGAAGGTCAAGATTACTCCCGGTACCAGCTCGGAACTTAAGGCAGAATTAAGCTGAGGGTCAGAAAACCTTTAATTACCTAATCTATCTATTCTTTCTCCAGTCATTAACTGTTAATCAAAGCTCACTGAAAGTATTTAAGAAATGTCATTTATGGACATTAGAGGCCTGAAATGCAGCCAGTTTTTAAAACATAAAAAGCCTTATAGATAATAACAGAAGATATGTGCTGCACATAGTAGAATAAAACATCATGGTATGAGAAACAACATTAGGGACTGTGCCGGGTCTAGAGCCTTAAGTCTTATACCTCCATGAAAATCTCTTCTGATTAATTCTCATCCACTTTATGATCTCCTCCAGCCCAAAGCAGTCTCTATTCTTTGGGAAGGACACAGACACTTATTACAACAGGGACTGGGCCCTTTTTGCGTCAGGGATCCCTTCTCAGAATGAGGTTTTTCAACGCATGGGATTACAAAAGAAACTGCTTACAGCTGCCAACGTTTTTTCAAAGTGCCCAGACCCCAAGTGAGGAAGGTGAGAAGGGAAGCCCTGAGAGCTCCATCATCTCCTCCTCTAGATCACTGACGCATTGCTTTGCTCATAGTAGACACCTAACAAAAATGTGTCAAACTACTCAGGGAATGATCTTTTAAAAATCTGAAGTTAACAGAAAGATAATTCCTATAGATGTACGATGACTTTCAAAAATGTGCAAAACAGGCTGTGTTGAACCTTACTGAAATCAATTTAAATCACTAAATCTTACTCAAGTTTTCATTCTAATAAATGATTTCCTTCTAAAAATATTACTTGAAATAAACAGATCTGAGGCTGGGAAATCACTTCAGTTTTGTGGTAGCAACATTTGATCTGTTATAGAATGACTTCTTTGGGGATGCTAAGTTTCATTCTAGACTGAGGTAGCACAACCTCTGTCTCAGCCATCTCTCTCTCCTTTAGACTTCCATCTCTAATAGTCTACTTAGACTGCAACTCTTTACAAATAACACTGAAGCCATCAATTTCTCAACATTCAGAGGGTCTAGTAATTTTCTTTATTCCCTTCAGGTGAGATTCAGGGCAAGAAAGCTTAAAAAGGAAAAACTTCTTTAACCTCAGAATGTGAAGATTTGAAGTTAAGGAAAGTTGAATACTATGACATGTTCCATTTTAGCCTCATTCATCTAGCACTTGCTTCCATGGTTCCCCTCTCAGCCTTCCCTCCAATCATGGAAGAAGAGTTCTCTTATTCTGCCCACTGGAACCTAGCCACAGGACAGCAGCACCTTTTCTTCTCCTTCAGGGCCTCAGCCCCACACTGCCCTTTCTATTTTCTTAATAAGAGCTGAGACTCCTATAGCTCTTTAGAGTTTGCAAAACACTGGGCAAAGATTCTTTCTCTCCTAAGGCTCCAACCTTTCTTCCCTCAAATGTGTGATTCTAGTGGAAAGACCACTGGTCTGAAAGGCAGACAACCTGCATGTGAAGGTCAGACCTAACACTGACCACAAGCAAGAAAGTCACTTGACTGCCGAGTTCCTTAAGTTCCTGATCAGTAAAATGGGGATATGAATACTTCACTGGGTTGTTTGAAGAACAGCACTTTTGGTAAAAAGCTCAAGTTCTGCATGAACAGAAATTGTTTCTTTTTTCTAAGCAAGGTCTTCCTGCTGTTCTTCCAACAACTCCTTCCTGTCCCCTGGAACAGGAGGGCTCACTCCCTGCCTCATTTCTGACCTCCACCATGACCCAAAACGAGCCAGTGAATCCTGGCTCAATCCAGTGGTCAGTGGCCACAGTGCTCATCCTCAAAACCTCCCTAGCTGGCCATGAAGCTGCCCCTTCCTTTCTCCTATCTCCCTGGCTAGCACCTTTCCTGTTTGCCCCTAAATGTGGCCAGCCTTTCCCTTCTCTTTTCATGTTGACTTTGCTTGAATTCATCCAATTTCATGGCTCAAGATGCCAAATCGAGAATTCCCTGCCCCAGTCCAATAAAATGACCATCGCTCACATTCAACAGTCCCAAATTGAATCCACCTTCCCTAACAAAACTAGCTTCTTACATTCCACCGTCCTTTCTGTGAGTTGCACAAGAGACAAGCTGCTCCTTCAATCCTCGTCTTGACATCGAGCTCTTTTTTTCATGTGCCCTTTGAAATTTCTCTTGGTTTCAGGGGAGGATTCAACTGGGAGAATGATCAAATGAGTGGGATGTACAAACAAAAGGCATCCAAAAGACATGTTTTCAGCTTTTCCTCTTCATTCCTCTGAATCACATCACCCCGGCCCTGCATCTTCTAGCTGGTCTCACCCATTCTAGTCACTTCCTCTTCCAATCCACCTTACTGTGGAGAGGCACCTTCCCAGAACTAGTCATCATGTCAGTTCCTGATTCCCAAGACCTTGCAGCAGCCCCTTTGTTGCTCTCCTCTGCCCATCACATGCCCCCACCCCAGCCAGCCATCAGTATTTCCTGGCATTCCCCAATCCAGTGCTGTTCTCTAGTGGGGAAGATCTACTCACTAACTTCCCACCCTTCTCCCCCGAACAAAACATCACCCCTTCCCTACCTCTGCTTACATACAGCCTAACAAAAACCTGCTCAAGTAGGTGGCCAAAGCTTTGTACCAGATTAAGAGGTCAGGGAGTTAACAAGTGCTGTTAAACTTGGAAGAGGAGATTGGAACCCAGATCTCTCCCTCCTATCTGCTCCAACTCTGAGCCTTCAGCTAGCAAATACTTGTATGGATTTACAGGAACAACAAAAATCTTCTAGGAACTAAACTTATCTTCATAAACAACTTTAGGAACCACACAGCCCAAGGATGGTGAGCTCAAGAGTAGCTGGGCCTTGAGCCAGATATGAACCAACGTTTCTCCAGCATCTATTAATAACAAAAAGCAGGAATCCATGCTGAGGATGGACCTTTATTTTTGCTTTCTGTTCTTCCTCAACTGCGCTGCATGTCTAGAATGGTACCAGTACCCAGATCAGTACTCAAATGTTTGCTGAATAAAGACACTTTTAGAGAAAATGACACCCATAAAGTTATACTGTCGTGCCAACAAACCTCTGGATTTTCTTCCTGCGCCCACCAGAGGCAAAGGGCAGAAAGTGAGAGAGCAATGACACAAAGTCATAAGGGAACTTGGAGCAGCAGAAAGCTAATCAGACTGGGAGGTAAGATACAGGAATTCTAAGGCCCTTTCACTTCACTGGGCCTCGGTTTCCTCAAATGAAAAACCAGGTGGTTGGTGTAACTTTCTCTAAGGCCTTTCCATCTCTAACAATCTACTTAGAGTTCAGCTGTTTATAAATAACACTGAAGCCATCAATTCCTCAACATTCAGAGAGTCTAGTAATTTTCTTTATCCCCTTCAGGTGAGATTCAGTGCAAGAAAGCTTAAAAAGGACAAACTAACCTCAGAATGAAGATGTGAAGTTAAATAAGTTCTTATAAATGAGAAGATTATGTTGCTCAAAGAATAAAACAAAATAACAAAAAAGGAAATTAAGCTTATGATTTAAAAGTAACACTTTACTGTACTATGGACAGAAGTGACCTCACCAGCCCCTTGATCTCAGTACAAATAGCAGAAAGATTAGAATTAGAACTGGATCTTCCCCATTTTTCACTCCCATTTCAAATGTAAAACTAGCTGGAAACTCCTCTCTCTTCCAAATACACAAAGATCCAACCTACATCTCTTACTGTAATATAGATTCTTCAGGCTTTATTTTTTTTAGTATGCATTCATCAAAGAAGCAAAACCAGACAATTTTTGTCTTACCAAATGCTCTAACAAAGGGCTAGACAGCAACTCATGGCATTCTGAAACGTGCTACAGAGGAAAAGGTAATTTCCTAATTGATTATAGAGTAATGCCCTTTTCATATCTAATTGTCCAGGAATTGTCCCCCTTACCTCTCCCCACTCAACTTCCTCGGCCAGAATACAATGCTGCTTCATCAGCTAGCCAAAACATTCCCAGAACAAAGACCTAAAAACTAGTGAAGGGTTTTACATTTAAAATAAAAAGACTGGGGGTCAAATTAAGGCTGATTCCACCTGCTACCTTGTGACCTTGGACAAGTCATCTCACTTCTTCCAGAACTGTTTCCTCCACTGTAAAATATGAGGGCTGGATTCCATGACATCAGAAGTCCTTTTTCTCTCTATACTTGAATAAAAAGGCCAAACCACACCAAGTTCTCCTGCCTCATACAGCAGTTTGCATTTTAAAAACACACATACACACACATACACACACACACACAAGCAATGCATATTTTTGTGCAACTATATTTCGTCCTTTTAAAAAAATTGCTGAGTTCTATATAAAGGCTTAAAGGAACTCACACATCTGTTTAACGTTTGAAGAAATGCAAATTTTTATCTAAGAAAAGCACTAGCCTAGCAGCCTTCCTTGGCACCAGCAACTAGGATTTTGCAACAAGATAATCCTTAAATTAAGGTACAAGGGCTAGAGGGAAGGCATAACTGCCTTTTAGAGCATTCGGATCAAAGTTTCAGCACCACAAAGAGGCAACAATCTAGCTCATGACTCCTCGATGATTGCTACTTTCCACCTTAGAATGCTGATCATACCACAGTGTCAATGGGCTAGACTTTGAACAGCATTTGCATACTGAAAATTTCTGGGAACATCCTTATTGTCTGCTGGGCTTCTGGGTGTGACCCCCTCCCCATTTTTCTTTTAAAGGGTCAGACGCTGCCGAACCTTTTCCCAACAACTGGTTTTTCTTCTACCAATACTTAATTGAAAGTATCATTTGCAGGTACTAGGAAAAGCTCTGTTCTCTCCTGTCCAGAGCCTCAACTAAAAGTCTACTTCTTTGCCAAAGTCCACCTCCAAAACCTTTCACATTCTGGGAACCACAAGAGGGGATTCACATTCATTATTTTCTTCTCCATGACTTTTCTCCATAGCGGCGGGGGGGGGGGGGAGGAGAGAGGGGATTGAACCAATGCTTAAATGCATACATGTGTACATGACACAAATGAACGCCTCCATACTCTGTCCTCGGGAAGAATTTTAGGAGTGGTGGAAGCAATCCCTGCCAGACCCAGATACAGGCCAGCACCTGGAAGGCTGGACAGTAGTAAGAGCTAAAGCAAAGTAACTGAAAGAAGATGGGGGGAGGTGTAGAGTAGAGGAAGAGAGGGAAACAGTGTCCTGACTGCACAGACCACAAACCAATGGGCTCATCCTTTTAACCCCTCTCTCCTAAGCCACTATTCACCCTCGAGGCTCTGGAAAAGGAGAGGAAGGATCTACTTTCCTGCTCCCCTCTATCCAAGGCCTCCCTCTCCCCTTTCTCTAGGGCTCTAGGTTTGGGGAGAAGGTTAAGAACTCTCCTGCTCCCCCCTCACTCAGCAGGGCTGTTCAATGTCAGAAAAGCAGGGTTTGGGGAAATCCAAGCACTTCAGTCAAGAGACCTCTGGTCTCCATTCCTTCTCTATAAAATGGGGTGGGGGTGGGCCTCGACAGCCTCTATAAATCTATGATCCTATGTCCCCAATCTCGCCCAGTGTACTGTCACCCCCTTGACCCCGGCTGCCCTCAATGACTGCGTTCTAAAGCACAGAGAGTACTTTGCACATATTAAAGCATCCAATAAATGCTTGTTGGATTGACGTGGGAGGCAGGGAAGGCAGTGCTGGCCTCTACCACCACCCTCCAAAAGAACTCATCCTTTTAACCCTGGTTTCTCACCAAGTGTCCTTAACAGAAGTCTGGTAAGGCCTATGGACTCCTTGACAGAATCCTGTGTTTAAAGGTGTAAATTGTTAACACACAGGATTACAAAGGAAACCAATGATACTGAAACATAACCAATTTCAGACTCCAGGTTAATAACTCCTAATCAGAACTCTCTCAGCACAGGGCTAAGACAGAGATTCTGAACAGAAGTAGGAAAAGGAGGGAGCGGTTCCCCCCAATAGCACCCCAAACCAGAACACTCCTCTTTCTGATGCTCCTTCTGCTAAAGTACCCTCCCCCCCATCCAGGAGTAGAGGTCCCTCACTTCTATGGATCTCTTCTCAGAATGTCAGAACTAGGAAAAGCATAAAATAAAACCGAGAGGATTACAAAGGAAACCAATTACGTAATTTTTTTCTCATCGAAATTCACCGATCTCTTGATAGCTAGGGGGTCCACGAACCCCAGGTTCCTGGAGAGTTGAGAAACCGGGAATGCCTTGCATACAGCACGGGATTAATGGTTTGGGAAAGCGGGTAAGGGCCTGCTCCCCAATCTCCCCAAAGCGGACAGACGGCTCAGTGCCTTCAACCCGACTCCCTGAAACTTACCCAAACACCCTAGAAAGCCGACAAAGGCGTGCTCTGCACACAGTACGCACTGGATGGCTCGCTGCACTGCACTGGAGACAGGTTGAGAAAAGGAGAGGAAGGTTGCTCTCTGCCCCCCCGCCCCCCCCCCCCCCCCCCCCCGTCTTAATCTGCCCAAACGTACCTTCCCCCAAAAGGAGGTCAAAGGAGAGGCCCGGGTGGAGAGGAGGCAGACAAATTCGGGGAGGGGGCGGACGGGGGAACTTACAACACTTACGACCCCCGCCCTGACAACAAGCTAGGCCCACCCGCCGACAAGCACTGATTAGGCTCTTACTGTGTGCCAGGCACTGTGCCAAGGCCGGGGATAGAGATGCAGCGGACCGAGCGGTGGGCAAGGCAGGGGGCAGGCAGAGGGGTTATGTACGGGGGACTGAAGGGCAGGACCCCCCCCAGCCACAGCCCCCTACCACATCAGCTCGGGGAGGGGGCGGCGCTCCCTCTCGGACCCTTCCCAGGAGGACGGAGCGTCCGGCCCGGGCGCTTGCCCCCTCCCGTCAGACCCGCCGCGGCCCCCTCGGGTCCCCGTCCCCCCCCGGAGCGCCCCCCGCCCCCCGCGCTCATCCCTTTAACCCCGGAGGAGACAAAGCGGGGGCCCGGACCCCTCCCCGCCGCGGGCCCGGGGCCGTCGTGGCGGCGGCGCGCCGCGGGGGGCCGGCCCCCCGCTGGGGGAGGGGCGCCCGGGCCCCCCCGCCCGCGCCCCCTCCCCCCGGGCCGCGCCAGGCTCCGCCGCGGCCGCCAGGCCCCGCCGCCCGGGCCTCATCCGCGGGCGGCCGGCACAAAGGGCGGCCCGGCGCTGTGAGGGGCCCGCGGCGGGCGGACAGCTCATTCGAGCGGCGGCGGAGTGGCTCGAGCCGCGATCATTGGCCGAAGGCAGGCACCAACCTCCGCTGCAGCCCTGGTTGGCTCCCGTCTCCAATCGGCTGTTTGGTTGGACGGAAAATGGCTGCGAAGGAACCAGTCCCAGCGCGGAGCCCCGCTTCCAGGGCCCGGCCTCCCCTCCCGCCGCCGTCGCGCCGCCGCGCCGCCGCCGCCGCCGCCGCCGCCGCCTCCGCCGCGCCCGCGCTCTTCCCGGAGCCCGGCCACCCGCCCTCCGCACGCGCGGGCGCGAGGCCGCGGGGGCGCGCGGGCCCCGCCGCAAGCCCCGCCCCCGCTGGCCTGGGGCTGCGCGCGCCGCCGCTCCCGAGCGCGAGCCGGAGCCGAGCCGAGCCGAGCAGACTGTAGCTTGCTTCTTCTTCTGCAGCTGCTGCTGAGCCGCGGCGCGCGCCTCCCGGCCCCCCCCCCCCCCCCCGCATCCTGCCTGCTGCCTGGGGGAGGACCGAGGAAGACCCGCGGGCTCCGGAGCCCAGCTCGAGAGTGTTTGGTGTCTGCCCCCGGCAAGCCCTCGGAAGACTAAAGCCCTCCCCTCGCTCGCTTCCTTCTACCCGACTAATGCAAGCACAGGCCCGCTAGCAGGCAACCCTTCTCTCCGCCTCGTGCTGAGCGATTTGCAAACAGCTCGCTACAGTTTGCCGAGGTGCCTGCCGCTGTTACCCGCGGTGTACAGTTGGCGGACGAGTCAAGTGACTCGTCCAACCTCGCGCAGCTAGTAAGTATTTGAAGCCAGTTATGAACATAGCTCTTCCTCTGTATATCCGTTCTAAATACCCATGAACTATCTATGACAGACTTTGGAGGCCCGAGACTTTTATTTATTTTTTAGACCATAGTAGGTGTATAATGAATGCTTTGTGATGGAGGCGGCCGCCTCCCGCTTCCCAGACTTGGTACAGGCTGTGTACCCCCCGAGCCTGGCTCCAGCAGAACCCCTCTGCTCGTGTCTGCTTCTTAGAATCCCTACCTTCCTTCAGAGCTCACCGTGATGGGCCACTTTCTGCATAAGGCCTTTCCTAAGTGCCTCCTCTCCTTCGCTAGAAATGACCTTATTTGGTGTTTGTTTTTGAGGGGCCCACAGGTTTAGGTAGTCTAGACACCCTCTGCAGGTGCATTTGTGACCTAGGTCCTTCCCTTCCGGAGAGTCTATCCTGAGACTTGCGCACAGTCACAGGGCTCTCTATCCACACGTTATATTTATTTAACTGAGTATGTGCTGGCGCACTAACCATTACCTTTCAAGTGCCCACCACATAGAAGACACTTTGTATCTGCTGATTGTTGTCATATCTACCTTATTAGGCTGTGTGAGGCTCAGATGAGATAATGTCACTTTTTTCAACAGCTTCAAAGTCAGTTATTGCTGTAGATGAGGACGGAGACTTGAAGTGATTTGTCCAGTAATGAGTGGTGGAGGGGAGATTTGGAGTCATTTTGCCCTGACTCTGCCATAAGCACATTCCCTCCACTCTTCCATGCTTGCCTCTTAGTTGTTTGAGCTTCTCACTTCAGGGCGTTAACCTTCCCATATGTTATTCAGTCGTGACCCCATTTGGGGTTTTCTTGTCAAAGATCAGTACTGGAGTGATTTGCCATTGTTTTCTCCAGCTGCTTTTACAGCTGAGGAAACTGAGGCAAACAGGGTGAAGTGACTTGCCCAGGGTCACACAGCTAGTTAGTGTCTGAGGCCACATTTGAACTCAGGAAGATGAGTTCCGGACTCCAGGCCCAGCACTCTATCCACTTCTGCCCCCTGTACACTGTAGGTGTCTTATATAAACCCAAATGTAAATACGTTCTCCCATCCCTTAAAATGGAAGCTCCTTGAGGGAAGGAACGATTTTGTTTTTGTCTCAGTAGCTCCAGCAACTAGTCTGTTAGTCAGTAAACATTTATTAAGCACCTACTATGTACCTGACACTTTGGATACAAAGAACAGTTTGTGCTGTTAGGAGCTTAAAGTCTAATGGGGGAGAGAGCATATAAACAATTGTACAAACAAGATATGGGCGTAAAGGATAAACTGGAGGTAATTAACAGGGAAAGCATTCTAATTAAGGGGGATCAGGAAAGGCTTCCTGTAGAAGGTAGGGTTTTATTGGGGACTTGAAGGAAGCCAAGGAAGTCTGGAAGCCCATAAGCAGAGATGAGAAGGAGGGAGAGAATTCGATGCCAGTGAAGATGCCCAGAGCTGGGAAAATAAGAGTATCTTGTTCTGGGAGTCCGGTATTGCAGAGTGAGGTGACAAGAGTCTGCACCAGGGTGATGACCGTGTCAGAGGAGAAAGGGGGGTGTGTTTGAGAGATGGTTGAAGATAAAGTCAACAGGCCTTGGGCTCATTAATTATGGAGAGGTATGAGATAGTGAGGAGTCGAGGATGACATTTAGGTTTCCAGTCGAGGTAATAGAGAACTTAGGAATCAGGGGAGGGTTTGGAAGGGAGATAATGAGTTTAATTTTGGATGTGTTAAGTTTAAGATATATGTGAGGCATGGGGCGGTGTCATGAAAACCTAGAGAGAAGAAAAGATGGCAGAAGGCTGAAGATTGAGAAAAGGCTAGTAGAATCGGCGATTCATTAGTAACTTTGGAAAGGCATTTTTCAGTTGAATGAATGGGACTTAGATGCCAGACTGCAAAAAGTTAAGAAGAAAATGGGAAGAAAGAAAGGGGAGGCAGAGATATAGGACAATAACTAGTGAGGAAAGAGATGAAGGGAGGGTTTGGGAGAGATGACGAGACACTGGTAGGTTTGTAGACAGTGGGGAAGTAACAGTCAGAAAGGGAGAGATGTTGGTCTCAGACACTTGACACTTACTAGCTGTGTGATCCTGGGTAAGTCCCTTAACTCTGATTGCCTCATCAAAAAGTGAAAAAAAAAAAAGAGAGAGACTGCAGATGAATGAGAGAATGGGGATAATAGAGGGACAGTCTGCTGAAGAAGAGGATAGAATGGGATCACTTGTGCAGTTGGGGGAATTTACCTTGGCACCCCCTTCATGTGAGACAGGGGCAATGGAGGGCAGAGTTGTGGAAGGCATCCTAGTGATTGGAGGGGGAGAAGGAAGAAGCTCTCCATGAGTGGCCTTGGTGTTTTTCCGGTGACCAATGAGGCAATATTCTCAGCCGAGAGGATAGCAGAGTAGAAAGAACTCAATGCTGTGAAGTGCTTGGAGGATTTCAAGGGGAATTCCTGGGTTTAGGCTTTATTACCTATGTGGTAACCCACAAAGGATGATAATTAACTGTACCTTTGTTTTTTCATCTGTAAAATGGGGATAATAATAGTACTTACCTTCCAGAGCTACAATGAAGGAGTACTTTGTAAACCCCAAAGTGTTATACAAATGTGAACTGATCCCCTCCAGCTTTGTTTAGGACCCTGATTTCATCAGAGCAAGGGGCTCTAAGTATAGACTAGACAGTGTAGACACTCCCACTCCCACCCCCACTGATTAATTTCTGTTCAGTTTGATTCTACAAGCATATATTAAGCAACTAGGGAGGCAAAATTATAAGTGGAAAGAAGATTGTTTTTTGAGTTGGAGCTCCGATTTCAAATTCCTTCTCTGACCACTTACTACCTGTGTGAATTTGGGCAATGAATTTCACTTCATCGGAGTGCCTCAGTTTCCACATCAATAAAATGAGGAAGTTGGACCGAATGACCTCTAAAGGACCTGGCAACTTGATGCTACTTACACTCCTACCCACTATAAATGATCACTTAGGTCTTAAAGAGTTTCTTAGGCCCTCGAGAAGTCAAGCTGATTTGTCCCAGGTTGCATAGCCAGCATATTGTAAAGGCCAAATTGGAACCCAGGTTTTCCTGACTCTAAGGCCACTCTTTGTATCCACTCGCTATGGAGGACTTTTTTTTAGTTGACCACCATGCATTTAAGCCTTACAGGATTTATTATAAAATAAAGAAGAAGTGAGGAAAAGAAGAAGGCCCCCTTTTTTAGTGTAGAGGGTGGCTCTGCCTTTCCAACACAAGGATTTTTGGTCGGATTTCTCCCCCTCCGGCTGAAATCAGAAAAGCTTCCTTTGGCTTTATTTTTAGAAAGTCGGTCAGTCTTTTCATTTCCTGATTTTTTTTTTTGCACGCGACCATTGGGCGCTTGGAGGAAGCCAAGTGATAACAAAATCTCAACATTAATTTGTTAAAGTCTTGCTTCTTTGCTGCCCTATTCATTTGCTCACCTAGGTGAAAGAGGTCGGTGAAAACCATGGCTTCTCTTAAGGGGAGCTTCTTTTCATAAATATTTCAATTCAATTCAATTCAGCAAGCATGAATGAAGCAACTGTTCTGTAAAGCTCTTCACAATGTGGCCCCTCCAGTCTTCCTTCAAAACTCGGCCCTGACATTACCTCCTTCTGGGAACCTTTCCTGATTTCCCCCAACCTTCCCATGCAAAATTACCTGGCCCTGTTGATGTATGTGGTTTTCTCCATGTGCCTAATTGTGTGCATTTTGTCTTCTCCTGCCCCTTAGAATGTAAGCTCCTTGAGGGCAGGAACTGGGCTTTGGTTTTACAGGGCTGAGTATGTGGTAAGAACAATGAAAAGTGCTTGACTGATTAATTGACTGTGCTAGTATTTTATTTCCTCTGAGTAGCAATCAATCAATGAGCGTTTATTATAGTATTAAATGCTATGCTAGTTGCTATAGCTACATTGTTACCAATTATCTCTAAAATCACTAAAAGGTTCAGCCTGTCAATTAATGCAAGAATTTTAAAATAACTTAAAAAATAATTTTACTAGAATTTACAATAATTTCTGCATCTGTGCAAATATACTTTGAATAAAAATAATTAAGGCAAATACTGTGAAATAAACATTTTTATCCTATCTCTGATATGTTGCAAATGCACTGTATCAATTGGTGTAACTTGGTCCTTCTGGGTATTTTTGAATTCTTCTATTATCTGCCAAATCTAATCCTCATCCTTGACCTCTTGGCAGCCACTGACCTCAGGATCTCCCCCTTCTCCATATTTCCCTTTTCTTTTTATGTTTGTTTTTTTTTCCCCCAGCACTTCTCTCCCCAGAATCTCCTCCTACATGCTTGAACTCTTCCTCTTGGTCTTCTTTGCTGGATCTTCACCCAAGCCATGCCATGTAACCATGGGGATCTCCTAACACTCTCATCTCTTTTGTTGTCCCTCTAAACTCTCTTGATGATCTCATCAGCTTCCATGGATTCAATGATCATCTTCCTGTTGATGATTTTTTTTTAAAAGTATGCTTCGATCTGCATCCAAACTCCATGGTTCTTTCTTTGGATGTGGATAGCATTTTCCATCATGAGACCTTTGGAGATGTCTTAGATCCTTGCATTGCTGAGAAGGGCTAAGTCTATCAATGTTAGTCATCACACAGTGTGGCAGTGTTCTCCTGGTTCTGCTCACTTCACTCAGCATCAGTTCGTATAACTCTTTCCAGGTTTTTCTGAAGTCTGCCTGCTCATCATTTCTTATAGCACAATAGTATTCCATTATTCCATTCCATTATATTCATATACCACAACTTGTTCAGCCATTCCCCAATTGATGGACATCCTCTCAATTTCCAATTCTATGCCACCACAGAAAGAGCTGCTATAAATATTTTTGTACATGTGGGTCCTTTTCTCATTTTTCTGGTCTCTTTGGGAAACAGCCCTAGAAGTACTATTGTGGGTCAAAGGGTATGCACATTTTTATAGCCCTTTGGGCATAGTTCCAAATTGTTCTCCAAAATGGTTGGATCATTTCACAACTCCACCAACAATGCATTAGTGTTCCAGTTTTCCCATCTTCTCCAACATTTATCATTTTCCTGTTTTATCAGGTTGGCCAATCTGATAGGTGTGATGTGGTACCTCAGAGTTGTTTTGATTTGCATTTCTCTAATCAGTGGTGATTCAGAGCATTTTTTCATATGACTCTAGATGGCCTTTATTCCTTCCTCTGAAAACTGCCTGTTCATATCCTTTGTATGTCGATGATTCTTAGATCTGTTTGTCCAGCCCTAACTTCTCTCCTGACCTCTGGTCTCACATCTCTAACTGCATAGAGGACATCTTAAACCACTCTGGTCTAAACCCTCCCCTCTTTTGAACTTTTGTATTTTTGACAAGGGTGCCACCGTCTCAGTCACCAAAACTGGCAGCCTCCTCCTCACTCTCTCTACACCCCACATATCCAGTCTGTCAGTTATACCCTCACAACATCCCTCGTGTGTAGACCCCCTTCTTTCTGCTGACACTGCCCTGACCCTGGTGCAGGCCTCGGTGGCTTCAGGTCTTTTTGTTCCTCTCTCTTCTTCGTCCCTCTTCCCTCCAGCCCATCCTCCTCTCAGCTGCCAAAGTGATCATCCTACTGAGCAGGGCTGACCACCTCCCCCCTCCTACTCGGTAAACTCTGGCTCACAGTTACCTCCAGGATCCAATTTAACGTCTCCTGTTTGTAGGAATGCACCGCGCCAGCTCCGAGGGCCCTAGCCAATTGGTCGTTTTTCAGGGTGAGCCTCTCTCCCTTGGAAAAGAAGTAAATGCTACAAATCACGGTTTTGTGGATTGTTTCGTTGACTCTCTAGACTTGAGAAAGTGATGAAGAGAATGTTAATAATGAAGATTAAACTTAAAAGTATGTCAGAGGTTGTTAATCATTTCCCTTTGTCTGTTTGGCTTTGAAAGCCCTGCTCAACCTGTCCCCTTCCCATCTCTCTAGTTCTCTTACATCTTACTTCCCCTTCTTTCCCATCTACACCCCAATTCTATGGTCTAGAAACTTGGACCTTCTTGCTAACCCATGGATGTGATGCCCCATCTCCTGCATCTGTGTCTTTTTGATGGCTGCTCTCCGTGCTAGGAATGGTATGCTTCTTCATCTCTGCCTCCAGGCTTTCCTGGCCTCCTTTGAGTCTCAGCTCACATCTCACTTTCTGCTATAAGCTTTGTGCACCCCCCTTAATGCTCAAGCCTTCCTTCAGAAATTACCTCCCGTTTGCCTTGTATCTATCTATCCGTCCATCTATCCATCTTCTGTCTCTCTGTATGTTTGACTGTCCATCCATTCATCCATCCGTCCATCCATCTATCTGTCTGTTTATCCATCCATCCATCCATCCATCCATCCATCTATCTATCTTCTGCCTCTCTGTATGTTTGACTGTCCATCCATCTATCCATCTGTCTATCTGTCTATCCATCTGTCTACCTATCCATCCATCCATCTGTCCATGTATATCTACCTATCTATATACAGACTGACATACAGATAGATATTTAGAATATAGATAGATGTATAGATAGATGCATAGATGGTTGGGTGGATAGATGGATGGATGGATCTCATAGGTACCAAGTTGTTTGCATATTGTTACCCTAATCAAAATATGAATCCTTGAGGTCAGGGACTGTTTTCCCTTTTCTTTGTACTCACAGTGTTTAGTACCTTCCCTACTACTAGGAGGTGCTTCCAAAGTGTTTGTTTACTTGACTTGAGTACTGGGGATGCAAACACAAAACAAAAAACAAATCCCCAAACCAAATGGTCCTTGCCCTCAAGGAACTTATTTCTGGTAATGTTAGAATCTCTAGTCTATTCCATTGCGCCTATGAAGCCCCATTGTCTACATGAAACCCTTCCTAGTTTCTCGTGCGCTTCCCCATGTTCTAGTATTTTTCTTGTATATATGCCTACATTGCCTCCCCAGATGGAATGTGAACCTGTTGAGGTCAGAGACAGTGTTTCACTTCTCTCCCAGCCTCCCTAGTGCCAGGTGGGGGGAATTTTGACCTTGGGATATTATGGTGCCTGCTGCACTTTTTTGCAATCTGTCTCTGATGTGTGAAACTACTGGGTTTTTCCTAATCTAATTAAGCAGTTTTTCTTCTTTTACAAATGAGGTTTAAGTGATTTATTAACAGATGAATCTAAGAGGAGGTACCTCTTGAATTCAGTCCTCAAATAAAGCTGTTAAATAGTAACAGGAGGTCAATGAGTAGAGGCTGTGCCCAAAGACTTTAGAACATCCCCGATAATTCTATTCTATAGGGCTTTAAGATTTGCAAAGTGCTTTTCTCACAATACTCCCCTGAAGTAGGTAGTATAAGTATGATTATCCACTTCGCAGATGAGGACACAGAGGGTCTCAGAGGTTAAATGACTTACCCATGGGGATATGTAGCAGATATGATTTCCACATCAATGATCATGCAATATAATAATAGCCATAAGCAAGAAAGAATGAAAGAATGAAAGAAAGAAAGGAAGGAAGGAAGGAAGGAAGGAAGGAAGGAAGGAAGGAAGGAAGGAAGGAAGGGAAAGAAAGAAAGAAATGCACAAAAGAGAAAGAATCCAGAAGGGTTTAAGGAAAACAAGGAAGACATTTTTGTTACTGTCTTCTCAGAGTTAATGTACACATTGTTTAAATGAATTGTAAAAATGCTTCCCATGCTATTCCTATTATACTCCATTTCCTTAGAGAGCTGCAATGTGGACAGAAAATTAGTGAAGGCTTCTGGGAGAAAGTGGCATTTGATTTGGATTTTAAAGGGGAGGTAGGAATTCTCCAGGAAAGAGGAGGGAAGGCTTTGGAGGCCTAAGGAGATGCCTGGAGTCAGGAAACTCAGGGCATGGTTGTGGAAGCCCAAGGAATCCCATTGGATTGCCGTATAGGATACATGGAGGGGAGGGGTAGGAAATAAAGCTGGAGTGGTAGGTAGTGACAGAGCATGGAGTGCCTTAAGTGCCCCGCAAAGAATTTGACTGAATGAAGAGTCACAAATGATTATTGAGCAGAGAAATAACATGATCAGATCATCATAATAGCTGCCATTTACATAATACTTAAAGATTTAAGAAGGGCAGTTAGGTAGTGGAGTAATTAGAGAACTGGGCCTGGAGTCAGGAAGACTCATCTGGCCTCAAGACACTTACTAGCTGTGTGACCCTGTGTGAGTCACTTAACCCTGTTTGCCTCAGTTTCTTCCTCTGTAAAATGAACTGCAAAAGGAAATGGCAAACTACTCCAGTATCTCTGCCAAGAAAACTGCAAATCGGGTCACCAGGAGTTGGATACGACCGAACAACAGCTTAAGGTTTAAGAGCCACTTCACATATGTGATCTCATTTGGTCTTTACAACAACCCATTGCCAGTGCTATTATTTTTCAGATGCATTTTTATTGACATTTTCCCCATATCACCTAGATTTCCCCCTGTATCCATCCTTTTCCCCTCCCAGAGAATCATCCCCAATTACAAAGTTTTTTTTTTTAGAAAAAGAACAGAATAAAATTATCCATTCTAATCAATTCTTCCCTCCCAAAAAATCTGACATTTTATACAGTGCTCTACACCTGTGACCCTTCACCTCTGCAAAGGAGCAGGGGGTGGTTTCTTCTTCTTCTCTTCTTTGGGGCCAAGCTTGTTCTTATGCAACCTTCAGTTGGTAAGTGCTATCATCATCCTTATTCTGCACTTGGGACAGCTGAGAGAGATTGTCTTGCCCACAGTTACATACCTAACAAGCATCTGAAGGAAGATTCAAATCTAGTATCTTCCTGACTAAGGGCAGCTAGGTGGCTGGAGTCAGGAAGAGCTGAGTTCCAATCCAGCCTCTGATACTTCCTAGCTGTGTGACCCTGGACAAGTCACTTAGCCCTGTTTGCCTCAGGTTCCTCATCTGTAAAATGAGCTGGAGAAGGAAATGGCAACACTCCAGTATCTTTGCCGAGAAAACCCCAAGTGGGGTCACAAAGAGTCTAACACAGCTGAAAAAACAACTGAACAAAATCTTCCTGATTCTTAACCACCATATCCAACTGCCTCTCATAAGGTCGTAGAACATAGATAGGAGGAAACTTAGAGATCAACCAGTCTAACTATCCCATTTTACAGATGAAGAAATTGAGGCTCAGAGAGGTCATAGCACCAATGGATCACAGGTGTAGAACTAGAAGGAGATTTAAAGACAGCTAGTCCTATCCTTTCATAGTCCAGATGAGGACACAGGCCAAGACGTAAATTAACTTAACCAAGGTCACGCGGGCAGGAAAATCCAAATTGGGTTCTGTGACTCCTAGTTCAGTGGCCTTTCCCATGCTGTCACCTACGAAGAGTATCATGCCAGAGGAGGAAGGGCAGGTAAGACAGAAGATCCTGTTAGGATTCTATTGAAACAGTCCCAAGCAGGTAATGTTAAAAGCCTTTGAGTGAATGTTTTTGTTTGTCCTTTGTTCTCGAAGAGGATCATGACATCAGGAAGCTGGTACCATGACTTGCAAGTGAATGGGATTTAACTGAGGCAGGGCTGTGCAAAGTCACCAGCCTCACTTTCTCCTCCGGAGCCATCTGGGTCCGGTGTCAGGATATAGATCAGGATGACTGGAGATGGCCCTGGATGCAGTGGGGGACCTTGGCTTTTTGAAGCTAAATTCTTTCCCAGGTCTCGAGTTTGACTGAGGCAACACCCATTCAGTGATTAAGGCTAGGTAAGAAATGAGGCAAAAGACAACCTCTTTTACCTACTTAAAGAAAAAAGAAAAAAAAAACAATTTAGGAGGGTAAGATCCTCAGGGTTCTGGCCAGAACAGAAACAATTGCTGTTTACACTTACTTAGAGCCATCAGAATCCAAACAATGACCAAGTGAAGCTTGGACTGGAACCCATTGTTGGCCAGTCAGTGAAAGCCAGAATGATTTGGATTTAAGGCATGGACCATTAAAAAAAGAAAGTTCTATTAAGACAAATTTATAAGAACACAAGCCATTCCCCAATTGATAAATGGTCAAAGAAATATCAACAGAGAGTTCTCAGATGAAGAAATTAAAGCCATCTATAGTCATATGAAAAAATGCTCTAAATCTCTGTTGATTAGAGAAATGCAAATCAAAACAACTCTGAGGTACCACATCACACCTATCAGATTGGCTAACATGACAAAACAGGAAAATGATAAATGTTGGAGAGGATGTGGGAAAATTGGAATGCTAATACATTGTTGGTGGAGTTGTGAAATGATCCAACCATTTTGGAGAACAATTTGGAACTATGCCCAAAGGGCTACAAAAATGTGCATACCCTTTGATCCAGCAATAGCACTTCTAGGGCTATATCCCAAAGAGATCAAATAAATGGGAAAAGGACCCACATGTACAAAAATTATTTATGGCAGCTCTTTTTGTGGTGACAAACAGTTGGAAATTAAGGGGATGCCCATCCATTGGTGAATGACTGAGCAAGTTGTGGTATATGAACAGAATGGAATACTATTGTGCTATAAGAAATGATGAACAGTCTGGCTTCAGAAAAACCTGGAAACTTGTGTGGTCTGATGCTGAGTGAAGTGAGCAGAACCAAGAGGACTTTGTACACAATAGCAGCCACGTTATGCAATGACTAATATTGTTACACTGAACCCTTCTCAGCATTAGGAGGATCTAAGACATCTCCAGAGGCCTCGGGATGGAAAATGCTGTCCACATCCAAAGAAAGAACTATGGAAGTCGAATCGCTGTCACGTATTTTTACCTTCTGTTGAGTTTTGTTTCATCTTTCTGATGGTTCCTCCTATTGGTTTTAATTTTTACTTACAAGTTCACTAATGTGAAAATATGTTTAATGGGTATGTAAATGTAAAGCCTATGTCAGATTGTGCGGCATCTTAGGGAGGGTGGGGGGGAGAAAAAGGGAGAAAAATTTTCAACTCAAAAGCATATGGAAAAAAAATTAAAAAAATAAAAATTAAAAAAAAAAATTCTAGCCCATAAAACACAAGATATCTTGCTAGGTTTCAGTGATCAAAATTTTGGGCAGAGCACGTGCAAGTAAGGGTATGATTCCCTATAAAGACAGCAAGGATGTTAGAGTTGTAGGGGGAGGGAGAGGAGGTGGGCAGGGAACTAACTGGCTAAGAGAAAGGTCAAAGCTGGTCACTGCTAGCCTCTGAGAGCAAGAGAGTGAATGAATGGAGTTAATGTGATCAGACATAGCAAAGTCAGTGCATTTTGTTTTGTGCATGTCCTGTGGACAATTAAAATGAAAGTCTGGAGCTAAGAAGAGAAGTCAGGTCTGAGGGTCGCTATGGATAGTTTTCTTTTTCCAGCCCCCTTTCAGTCTTTATTTTGAACTTACTGTGGTGTTAGGCATTATGGAAGAAAGAAGGCTAATGCCTTCCCATCTACTCTGTGAATGTCTTTGTATGTACCTAAGTTATTTACAAGTTTTTCCCCAATTAGAATATAAGTTCCTGGAGGACAGGCCCTGTTTTTGACTTTCTTTTTCAGCATCGAACACAGTTCCTGGCACTTCATAAAAAGCTTATTGGCTTGCTGACTGATTGACTGTTGAAGACAGTCCTTGACCTCATCTGACAGAGGAAAGCAGTTTTGGTGATACAATCAGAAAACAATTGGATACAAAATGATGTAATAACTATAAATGCAGCTGGAATTCCTGGAGTAACCGTGAGGGCTGGGATAATGAGAAAGGACTTCACAGAGGGGGTGAGGCTTAATCTTGATCTGGAATAATAAAATTTAGGAGAAGAAGGAGCATTGTTTAACTGGGAAGAATAGCAGAATAGTAGAGGGGAAATCAGGCAAGACATGTGAAATGGAAGTTTAGAGGGGGGAGGACCTTAGAGATTATCTTGGCTGAGCTTCCATTGCTCTGTAACTGTCATATATGGGCCACAAGAAAGCTGCCCCAAACTCGAGGCTTGTTAGAGGTTCAGACCATGCAAGACCAGTGCATGCAAGTCATAGAAAGGATGCTCCTTGAGGGCGTAGGCAGTGGTTGTATACCTGACAGAGGGCTGACCCTGAATGGTGGAGGACCTCAACTCGAGTCAGCCTGGACACATCCTGGCCGTGTGACCCTGGGCAATCGCTTACCTTCTTGGTACCCTAGGCAGTTTCAGAGGAGGTGCTGACCTATGCTGGTAATAGAGTTTCCTCATCAGAGAGTTCCCTTAAACCAAGAAAACACAGCACCTAGAAAATAATAGACACTTAATAAATGCTTATAGATGGATGTATTACTATAGGGGTGGGGAACCTTTGGCCTCGAGGCCACATGTAGCCCTCTAGGTCCTCAAGTACGGCCCTTTGACCGAATCCAAATGTCACAGAACAAATCCCCTCAATAAAAGGATTTGTTCTGTAAAACTTGGACTCAGTAAAAAGGCTGCACGCAAGCACCTACGTGACCTTGAGGGCACAGATTCCCCACCTCGTGAGTTTCCTTTTACCAGTCAGTCAAAGTGAATAAATGAAAATAATTTGTCAAGGAATTATTATGTGCCAGACATCATGCTGAGTGCTAGCCATACAAATACAAAAGGGGGACAGGCCATGACCTCAAGGAGCTTACATTCTAATGGGGAAGAGAGAGGGAGGAAGGAGATAATAAGCATTTATACAATGCCTACTGTATGCCAGACATTTCACAAATACTATCTCATCTGATCTTCATAAACAACCCTGGAAAGTAGATTCTGTTATTATCCCTATTTTACAGTTGAGGAAACTGAGGCAAACAATGGTTAAGTGACTTACCCAGAGTCACAGAACTACTAAGTGCCTAAGGTCAGATTTGAACTCAAGTCTGCCTGACTCCAAGTCCAGAGTACCTATCCATTGCTTCACCAGCTGGCTCTAAATATAAAATACAGGGGCAGGTAGGGGGCGCAGTGGATAGAGTACTGACCCTGGAGTCAGGAGAACCTGAGTTCAAGTCCAGTCTGAGACCAAATACTTGACACTTACTAGCTGTGTGACCCTGGGCAAGTCACTTAACCCCAACTGCCTCACCAAACAAACAAACAAACAAACATGTAGGGCAGTGATGGCAAGGGAAGGGTGCTGTGGTTTGAAAAGCCGTAAAGATAGTGAGGGAGCAATAAGGTTATCAATTAATACCCTTTTTCCAGAGGCTATATTAGTGGTAATTTGATTAGAGTTCTCAGAATAAGAGGTGGAGAGGGGTGGGGAAGGGAGATGGGAAGGCCAGGAGGTTTAAAATCAGGCTGCATGTTCCTGGGGAGTGAAGAGCTGAGTAAGTAGATTATCATACCTTGACAAGCTTGGCCCTTGGTGGCCCAGTTTGGAAGACACATTTTATTTTATTTATACACACACACACACACACACACACACACATACATATATATATTTTCCAATTACATGTAAAAACAATTTAAAATTCATTTCTTAAAATTTTGAATTCCAAATTCTCTCCCTCCTTCCACTCCACCCTCATTGAGAAGGCAAGCAAATTTGATATAGATTATATTTGTGTGCAGTCATGCAAAACACATTTCCATATTAGCCATGTTGCAAAAAAACTGAAAACAAATAGGAACTCGTCCCCCAAATAAATAAAGAAGATTAAAAAAAGTATGTTTCAGTCTGTGTTCAGGCTCCATCAGTTCTTTCTTTGGAGGTGGATAGCATTTTTTTTATCATGAAGTCCTTCAGGATTATCTTGGATCATGGGGCAGTGAGGTGACACAGTGGATAGAGCACCAGCCCTGGATTCAGGATGGCCTGAGTTCAAATCCGGCCTTGGACACATAACACTTACTAGCTGTGTGACCCTGGGCAAGTCACTTAACCCCATTGCCTAAAACAACAAAAACAAAAACAAAAAACCCAAAAACAGAATTGTCTTGGCTCATTGAGAGTGGCTAAGCCATTCAGAGTTGATCATCCTACGGATGTTGCCGTTACTTTGTACAATGTTCTCCTGGTTCTGCTCATTTCACTTTGCTTCAGTTCATATAAGTCTTCTCAGGTTTTTCTGAAGCCTTTTTGCTCATCATTTCTTTAGCACAATAATATTCCATTCCATTCATATATTATGGCTTGTTCAGCCATTCTGCACTGATGGGCATCTCTTCAATTTCCAATTCTTTGCCTTCACAAAAAGAGCTGCTATAAATATTTTTGTACATATAGATTTTTTTTTAATCTTTTTGGGATATAGACCTAGTAGTAGTATTGCTGGGTCAAAGGATATGCACAGTTTTGTAGCTGTATGGGCAGAGTTCCAAATTGCTGTCCAGAATGGTTGAATCAGTTTGCAATTCCTCCACCAGTGCATTAGTGTCCCGCTTTTCCCACATCCCCTCTGGTATTGGTTGTTTCCCTTTTCTGTCACTTTAGCCAATCTGATAGGTATGAGGTGGTACCTGAGTGGTGTTTTAATTTGCATTTCTCTAGACAATAGCAATTTAGAGCATTTTTTCATATGACTATAGATAACTTTGATTTCTTCATTTGAAAATTGCCAGTTCATATCTTTTGACCATTTATCAACTGAGGAATGACTCATATCTCCACTCTCTGTATTTGAGAAATGAGGCCTTTATCAGAGGAACTTGCTGTAAATTTTTTTTTCACACTTTTCAGCTTTCCTTCTAACTGGCTGCATTGGTTTAGTTTGTGCAAAAACTTTAAATTTAATGTAATCAGAATTATCCCTTTTACTCCCATAACGCTCTCTATCTCTTCTTTTGTCATAACTTCCTCTCTTAGGCATAGATTTAACAGGTAAAATATTCCATGCTCCCCTAATTTGCTTATGATATCACCTTTTATGTCTAAATCGTGTCTCCATTTTGACCTTATCTTGGTATACGGTGTGAGATGTTGGTCTATATCTAGTTTCTGCCAAATGGCTTTCCAGTTTTCCAAGCAGTTTTTGTCAAATAGTGAGTTCTTATCCTAAAAACTTGGAACTTTGGGTTTATAAAACACTAGATTGCTATGGTCATTGACTGCTATGTTTTATGTACCTAATCTATTCCATTGCTCCACCACTCTATTTCTTAGCCAGTACCAGATTGTTTTGATGATTACTGCTTTGTAATACAGTTTGAGATCTAGTATGGCTAGGCCACCTTTCTTCACATTTGATATTCTTGACCTTTTGTTCTTCCAGATGAATTTTGTTATTTTTTTCTAGCTCTATAAAATAATATTTTTGGTAGTTTAACTGGTATAGCTCTGAATAAGTAAATTAATTTAGGTAGGATTGTCATTTTTATTATAGTCACCTAGCCTACTCAAGAATACTTAATATTTTTTCCAGTTGTTTAGATCTGACTTTATTTGTGTGAAAAGTGTTTTGGAATTGTGTTCATATAGTTCCTGAGTTGGTCTTAGCAGGTAGCCTCCCAAATATTTTATATTGTCTACAGTTATTTTAAATGGGATTTCTCTTTCTATCTCCTCCTGCTGGGTTTTGTTGGTAATATACAGAAATGCTGATGATTTATATGGGTTTATTTTATATCCTGCAACTTTGCTAAAGTTTTAAATTATTTCAACTAGTTTTTTTCATCCATTCTCTAGGATTCTCTAAGTCTACCATGACATCTACAGTAAGTGATCGTTTTATTTCCTTATTGCCTATCTTTTTCCTTCAGTTTATTTTTCTTCTCTTTTTGCTGTTTCTGGTATAATATTGAATAATAGTGGTGATACTGGACATCCTTGCTTCACCTCTGATCTTACTGGGAAGACTTCTAGCTTCTCCCCTTACAGATAATGCTTACTGATGGTTTTAGATAGATACTACTTATCCTTTTAAGGAAAGTTCCATTTATTTCTATGCTTTCTAGTCTCTTTAATAGGAATGAGCATTGTTTTTTGTTAAAAGCTTTTTCTGTATCTGTTGAGATAATCATATGATTTTTGTTGTTTTTATTATTGATAGTTTCCTAATATTGAACCAGCCTTGCATTCCTAGTATAAATCCCACCTGGTCATAGTATATAATCCTTGTGATATATTGCTGTAATTTCCTTGCTAGTGTTTTATTTAAATTTTTTGCATCAATAATCATTAGGGAAATTGTCTATAGTTTTCTTTCTTTGTTTTAGCTTGTCCTGTTTTAGGTATTAGCACCATATTTGTATCATAAAAGATATTTGGTAAGACTCCTTTTTAACTTATTTTTCCAGATAGTTTATATAGTATTGGGATCAATTATTCTTTAAATGTTTAGTGGAATTCACTTATGAACCCATTTTGTCCTAGGGATTTTTTCTTAGGGAGCTCACTTATGGCTTGTTCAATTTCTTTTTCTAAGATAGGGTTATTTAAGTATTCTGTTTCCCCCTTCAGCTAATCTGGGCAATTTATATTTTTGTAACTATTCATCCATTTCACTTAGATTGTTAGATTTATTGGTGTATAATTGGCAAAATAGCTCCTAATAATTACTTTTATTTCCTCTTCATTGGTGGTGAATTTACCCTTTTAATTTTTGTTGCTGGTAATTTGGTTTTCTTTTTTAAAATCAAATTAATGAATGGTTTATCTGTTTTACTGGCAGAGGACACGTTTTTAAACACATTTAATTAAATAGCATAGCAGTACAGTGAGAGGAAGTGATCCACCCACATCCAAATGGGCTACCTCTTCACTGGTTACCATCCTACCCAGGGAAGAGGGCACACGTGTGGAGAATGCACGTAAACAGGGAACATTTGTGTAGACAAATCACAGGTAATTTCTGTGAAGGAGCACACGCCATCATTCCATATGGCCAGGGTATAGCCATAGAGAGCATGTACACAGGGAAATAGTTTTTGTACAATGGGGGAAAAAAAAGCATGAATTTAGTTTCCAGAATTTAAATGCTACTTCTACCAATCATTCCTTAGGTGGTCTTGGACAAATTCCTTAAATCTCTCTGGGCCTCAGTTTCCCCATCTGGAAGATGAATGAATTAAACTAGGTGACCTCCAAGGACCTTTCCACCATTATGTCTATGCTCCTGTGATGCTATGACCTGAGTGACCAGAGTATCTCAGCATTCTGAATGCTTCAGGATTATTCCATGTTCTCTGGTGAGGCCATTATCTGCTTCCTTGCTATTCTCAACTGGAAAGCTGAGCATTATGACTGATCTGTGACTTACTATCTCTGCTGGCCTCTGCTACCATCTGCTAAAGTTTCTTTTTCTTTTTTTTTGGCTAGGCAGTGGGGTTAAGTGACTTGCCCAGGGTCACACAGCTAGTAAGTGTTATGTGTCTGAGGCCGAATTTGAACTCAGGCCATCCTGAATCCAGGGCTGGTGCTCTAACCACTGTGCCATCATCTGCTAAAGTTTCGAGTCAATAAACATTTATCAAGCGCCTACTATATGCCAGGAATTGTGGGAAGAGCTGGGATTACAAGGAAAGGTAGAAGACAACCTCTGTCCTTGAGGAGTTTACAGCCTGTCAGTTATTATCGTCCTCGTGTACTTCCTCTGCCTTTCTTTACCCACAAGTTGGGATTTTAGCGGTAAAACACTCACTAGGCAGGGTTTTTGTTCAGTCATATCTGACTCTTTGTGACACCATTTGGGGTTTTCTTGGCAGAGATACTGGAGTGGTTTGCCATGTCCTTCTCCAACTCATTTTACAGATGAGGAAACTGAGTCAAACAAGGTGGAGTGACTTGCCCAGGGTCACACGGCTAGTAAGCATCTGAGGTCAAATTTGAACTCAGGTCCGACCCCAGGGCCTGTGCTTTTCCACTGTGCCACCTAGCTGCTAGGAAGGGAGACAAAGGTGATTCAGGCATTATGGATAATGTAGAAACTGAATAATAAACAGATTACAACTCTGTACATGAAAATACATAAAATCTTAAGGTACTGAGCATTAACAGTTAAGTCTAGTCAAGTCAATATGCAGATACTCATGAAGTGCCTACTGTGTGCCGGGGACTGTGCTAAGCATGCTATATTGGTGACATGGCACATGCCAATCAGAAGACCTGACCATTATTGGTCTAGATCACTTATGTGATTTGCTTTTAACAGATCATCTATGTTTCTTAGTCCACCTTCACTCATGGGTTCCCATTTCCAACTCCTGGAAACGTTCTCTTGTTTTCCCACCTTATATCTGGTCCAGAGAAGACTCCCCCACTTCCCCCAACTCCCATTCCCTCCCCAGCTGGATGGAACAATAGATAGAGTTCTAGGCCTGGAGTCAGGAAGATCTGAGTTCAAATTCAGCCTCAGACACTTATTAGCTGTGTGACTCTGGGTAAGTCATTTAACTTCTGCCTGCCTCAGTTTCCCCAACTGTAAAATGGGGATGATAATAGCACCTGTCTCACAGAGTTGTTGTGGGGCTCAAATAAGATATTATCTATAAAGCACTTAGCATGGTGCCTCCCCATCCCTCAGGCTTAGAACCTAGGCATGACTCTCAACTCTTCACTATCTCTCATCCCCTGTAGCCAAGCTGTTGCCAAAGCCTATCAGTTTTACCTTCATCTCTTCATAATGTGCCATGCTCCCTTCCCTCCTCTGACACTGCCCCCACCCTGGTCTGGTCCAGGCCCTCACACCTCATATGGACTATTGCAGGGGCTGCTGGTGGGTCTGCCTGCCTCAGGTCTCCCCACTCAGATCCACCCTCCAGCAGCCACCAAGTTAATTTTCCCAAAGCTTGGGTCTGACCCCGTCACCCTCTCCAGCAGCTCATTGTAGCCTCCAGGATCAAAAACAAAGTCCTCTGATGTTCAGAGCCCTTCCTAACACAGCTCTCATCCTGCCTTTCTAGTCTTCTGACACCTGACACATACTCTTTGATCTGGTGACACCAGCCTCCTGGCTGTTTCATGAACAAGCCGCCCCATCTCTCTGCTTGAGGCATTTTCTCTGGCTCTCACCCATCCCTGGGATGCTCTCTGTCCTCATCTTCACCTACTTGCTTTCCCAGCTTCCTTTAAGTCCCAGCTGAAATCCCATCTTCCTCAGGAAGCCTTCTTAAATCTAGTGCCTTCCCTGTCTTGAACCCAGGACCTCTACACTCCTGCAATGATTTGGAATAGCACCCAACATACTATCTGGAGAAGGAAATGGCAAACCACTCCTGTATCTTTGCTGAAAAAACCCCAAATGGGGTCATGAAGAGTTCAATGGGACTGAAAAACAACAATAATCCTTCTCTTAATTATTTCCTATTTTTCCTATATATAGTTTGTTTAAACATATTTGTTTACTTCTTGTCTCCCCCATTAGATTGTGAACTCCCTGAGGACAAGGATTGTCTTTTGCTTCTTTTTGTATCCCTGGTACTTAGCCTAGTGCCTGGCACTTAATAAATGTTGATTTGCTTTCACATAGTAGGCACTATATAAATGCTTATTCCCTCCCCCTCTTCCCTCTTGACATAATAACTTGAGTTTTATGTCCTGACTGGCTTGTGGTTCTGATACTGAAGGAGCCTAGTGACCAAGGAGAGATCTTTACTAAAGAATTTATTTATGTTTCCCTATTACTGGAACCCTCTGAAATTCTTTGCTTAGCTTGAGGTTGCTTTGTAATGCTGAAGGCTGTTGGTCTCAGAGCTCTGACTATGGCTGGCTTGTGCTTCTGGAAATGGTATAGAAATCTTGAACAAAACTCTGTTCTTTTCACTGTATCCTGTTGTTGCACAATATAGAACAAGTATATACATGTATATATGTAACAAGTGTATAGAAACATTATATGAATATATAATTATTTATATATAAATTATAAATTAAATAAATGTAAATCTTTATATAGTGAATAAATATGTACTTATATAAACATAACAAGTATATATGTGCATGTGTATATATATATATAAAACAATATATAAACTATAACAAGACTGGGAAGCATTTGATAATGGGGTTCTGTTTTGTTTACTTAATGAAGCCTCCCAACATCCTCATGCACTGTACATAATAGCAAAGTGGTTTGGAAAGAATACTATATTTGGAATCAAATGATTTGGTTTATAATTCCATTTACCATTTCTGTGACCTTGGCAAATCACTTCACAAAATGGGCCTCAGTTTTCTCATCTATAAAATGCAAGGTTTGAAGTTGTTTCCTTCCAGGTCAGAATCTATAATTTTATGATTATTATCTGTGAAAAGGTGTGCTCCAGTTAGACTTTAGCAAAGGTAGAGATTTCTTACCTAGCCTTCATCACTGAATGGGTGTTGCCTCAGTCAAACTGAGACCTGGGAAAGGCCTCAGCTTAAAGATGCCAGGGTCTTCCACTGCATCTAGGCCGTTGCCAGTTGTCCTGATCTATATATGGCCACTAGACCCAGATGACTCCAGAGGAGAAAGTGAGGCTGGTGACTTTGCACAGCCTTCCCTCACTTAAATCCAATTCACTTGCATCACATGGCATCACCTTCCTGATGTCTTGGTCAAAAGACAACAACAGCTAAGATAGATGTCAAGAGCAAAAACAGGGATAACCAGAAGTAACCAAAGGTCTTTCAGGTATAAATGAACCATTTCACATGTTGGGAGGGATTATGTGGCTTTGAGTCACTCAATTCCAAATGAATATCCTGGTGAAGACAATGAACTTGCCCCAGGGTACAGAATCCAGTGACTCATTTTGCATAAGACCCAATAGGAATCTGGGAAGAATAACAAGATTATCACCATTAAGTAAAGTGGAGTCTCTCAACTGAGAAGAGTTGGTTATGCCTCTCAGCTCTTCAGTGTGTGTGTGTGTGGGGGGTGGTATGGGTTCAGTCAGTCATGTCTGACTCATTGGGACCCCATTTGGAGTTTTCTTGGCAAAGATACTGGAGTGGCTTGTCATTTCCTTCACCAACTCATTTTACAGATGAGGAAACTCAAGCAAATGAGTTTGAAGTGAAGTGACTTGCCCAGGGTCACACAGCTAGTAAATGTCTGAGGCCAGATTTGAACTCAGGAAGAGGAGTCTTCTTGACTTTGGGCATCGCACTCTATCCATTGCACCTAGTCTGTTGTCTGTTGGTTGATTGTTAATGAAAGGTCCATCAGTGGGGGCTCATGAGTTAAAATGTTAGCACTAGTCACCTACAGGTTTATCATTAGAACCAGAGAAAGTTGTTACTTTTCTGGAGACTCATCATGCCAGTATGAGTTAGACTTGGAGGAGTAACCGCCGACGGGGTGCCGCATATGATTGTAATGATAGGTGATCAAAAAAGGTAGAGATGTATACTGGATCATAGGACTTGGACTTGAAGGAAACCTTAGAAATTACGAAGTCCAACCCCTTAATTTTACAAGGCAAGAAACTAAGGCCCAGAAAGAGGAAGGAACATAAGTGGCAAAGCCAAGATGTAACCTTGGGTCTGATGAAATCAGAAACATCAAGATTCTGGGCTCCTCACATAGAGATGCTATAAATGGTCCAGGAACTACCTGCCAAAAATGGATATTTCACTTCTCCACAGAGGTACGTAGTTAGTGAACTCATTAAAGATTGTTGGAATATTAACAAAGCAGTCTTTAAAAATGTCTCCTTGTCCCCTCTGGGGGTGAATAAATATGCAGAACTGATTGAGAATTTTGAAGACGCAACTTGACGATAATTTTATAATGCTGCCAGGCCCAAGCCTTTAGAAAGGCTCCTCCTTAAAGAGGAGAGGAGAATGTCTTCTCTCCTCTCTCTCATTTATAGTAACAGATTTGAATTATATTGAGGACTCAAAAGAAAGGAAGCCCGTGATTAACAGAGAACCAGGGTTAATTTTTTTTATTATATTGAGGGCTAATAAATATTTCCTCATTATAAAAACATATAAAACAGCTTCCATGAGTCATTTCAGAATTGTTTGGAGTTAGCACCCACTATTGAAGGATTGCATAGGGATTAGCAGAGCCCCGAGGGAAGGAAATTGAAGAAGGGCAAATTTTGCTGGAGATTTGGGGAAGGGAGGGATCAGGGCTTGCCACACCACTTGGGAGGTGATGCAGAGTGAAGAAAACATGAGCAAGAGATCAACAGACATGATCATCACCATATTGTATAGGAACCCAACTCTGGAAAAACATCGATTGATCAAAAAAATCATTAAGTACCTACCATGGGCCAAACCTTATTCTAGGCTCATGGGGGATGGATTTACAAAACTAGAACAATCCCTGCCTTCTAGTAGCTTCTCAGATCAAGGTGATGACCAGTTTTGACTCCAGATGATTGTTGATGAAGTTCACCGCTCTCCTCTAGCTAGGAGTTGGT